CCGGCATATGGAAGGTGGCCTATCTCTTAAACTGAAGGTCTTGTATTCTACCTATCGATAGATACCCCTGTTGCCATCAGGGGTTGGGGGATGGGGAACTTCAACTGGCTTACTTGCTCCTGCTGTGGGACTCCAGTTACTTTGTGGTTTAGTCTGGACTCCTTCCTGTTCCTGATGGTCACCTCTAGATGTTGAACATTTTTGGTCCTGCTATTACCTTTTGTAGCAGTTCTGTCTTGTTGTTTGGGGCTGTTACTCCTTTCTTCTGTCCAATCCAGCTTCCTATCCACTTTTCAGGGAATTCTCATAAGTTCTGGACCATCAACAGCTAACCTTCAACCTTCTTGTTTTCCAATGCACTAATGAATTTAATTTTTAAAATATGTGTTTTCTGCCAGGTCTAGGGGTTTGTGGCATGAAAAGAAGGTTGCATTATGTGCCCACTCTGCCATTTTATCATTTATTTATTTATTTATTTATTTATTTATTTATTTATTTATTTATTTATTTATTTATTTATTTTAGATTTATTTTTTATTGGTGTTCAATTTACTCTGCAATTTTAAATCAAACTTACTTTTCTCCTTTTTAAAAGAGGAAGTAGTGGTGTTAATAGTCTGACTTGATTATGTAGTTAGGTAAAGAAGGAACACAAGCAATTTCAAGCAGGGAACTCTATAAATTTTTAGTTATTTTAAAGGGGAGAGTTTAGACAGTTCACATTGCTATGAAATGATGCTAAGATTGCCAAATTCATAGGTTTGCTTTTTCACAGGTTTGCTTGTTTCATGAAGGCTTTGAATTTGCCTTGGATTGTCCTAAAGTTTTAGATTCATTGCTGGACTCTGCTTTCAAGCTTATACAATTCTAAAGTTATATCCAAACACTGCCATCTTGTGGGTCATTCCTTTTGTCTCCCCATACTACCCCTCAAATGCTCCTTCACACAAATATAACAGAAGAGTTGAGCTATGTCAACATTTGTTAGTGCTAAGAGCTCTACTGAGAGCTTTACGGATACGGATACCTCATTTAAACTTCACAAGAACTTTATGCATCAACTATTATTAATTAAATGTTAGAGATGAGGAAACTGAGGCCTACATGGGTTATGTAATTTGCATAAGGTTTCACAACTAGTAAGAAGATGAGTAAAATCTATATTCAGGTGGTATGCCTCTGGAGCCCTTGCTTTTACAGCGTCCACATGTAAAATAATAAATTTAAGAATACTACAGTGTGACACAATTATATGAGTAAGTTATAGAAGTTAAAGAGGAGGAGATAACTTTTAGGAAGGGGCAACAGGCAAGTGTTCACAGATTTTTAAGGAGGTACTCTCCTCTATGAGAGGATTTGAAGGATAATCATTGCACAGGAAGCGTGTAGCTGAGACCATATCTCCTGGATCTAATTGTATAGAAACACCCTATTTGTCTATTATTTTGCCTTCCCTGTACCCTGCCTTCTTTGGGAGAACTACTCATTACTTTGCTTCAAACATATGATTCTCATAGTTTAATATTAGTTTAATAAATCTTAAGGATTATACCTTTGACTCCTCACCTAATCTGAGCCAACATGTACCCATCAGGGGCCCTGGAATTTTTGTGCTTAGGCAGGGGACACAGCACTGTGTTCTTTTTTTTTTTTTAATTTTTTTAAATTTATTTATGATAGTCACACAGAGAGAGAGAGAGGCAGAGACATAGGCAGAGGGAGAGGCAGGCTCCATGCCCCGGGAGCCTGACGTGGGATTCGATCCCGGGTCTCCAGGATCGCGCCCTGGGCCAAAGGCAGGCGCCAAACCGCTGCGCCACCCAGGGATCCCCTGGCACTGTGTTCTTTAATAGAAAAGCTGAGGTGTGTGTCAGAAAGCTGCAGCCAGCCAAGTGTTCTCACATGGAGAATGGTCTGGAGCGTAAGAGAATAGGGCCAAACCATAAGGTTCCAGTCTCTAGGCCAGCTGCACTGCTGACTTTTCTATAGTAATAACTATTCTTGCAGAACCTAATCAGGTTTGGGTTTTGATCCACTGCAACCATACAAGTTCTAACATTCTTGATGTTAATAGCTGAAGTAGGGGCAACACTGCCTATATGCAACTTGAATGACAGCACAATACATCTTGATTATGAAGAATAGCACTGTTAATTTAATTTGGAAAAATGGAATTTAGGAAGTATTGCAAATGCTATCTTGCTTAAGAATATTTCTGCAGTGCTCTATTCTGGCTTAATTTCATACTCCATTCCTATGCCTGGATTATTCTCCTACTTTTCCCCAACTACATCACTGCAATCTTCTTAAAGCCCTCTCTGGATTTATTTCTTGCTTTAAGTTTACTTCAGAAATTCTTTTTTTTTTAAGATTTTATTTATTTATTCATGAGAGACAGAGAGAGAGAGAGAGAGAGAGAGAGAGAGAGAGAGAGAGAGGCAGAGACACAGGCAGAGGGAGGAGCAGGCTCCTTGCAGGGAGCCGGACGTGGGACTCCATACCGGTCTCCAGGATCACGCCCTGGACTGAAGGTGGCGCTAAACCGCTGAGCCACCGGGGCTGCCCTACTTCAGAAATTCTAGTCAATTTTTTTAAAACATTTAATTATTGCAAAGAAAAATAAATTATAAAATTCAAAGATATCGAAATTAAGAATTACCCCAATTTCACCACACTGAGATAATCAGTAGTATATTGCTATATTTTCTTTCTTATATATAAACACAAAGATGTTTGAAAAGCCTCACAAAATGGCTAATTTTGATCTCATTCTCCCCTAAAAACAGCTGCAATGCATTTTTCATTTAATTGTATTTCATTTGCATTAATTCCTAATCATTTCAATATTTCTTGCAAATAACCAATATATTTGAAGGCATTTAGTTTTCTAGGGAAATGAGGACCAATTCCACATCGTTTGGACTGGAATATTCTTTCTTCCTTGCTTCATCTAGTTATTGCCTACTCATTCCTACAATCATAGTTCAAGTGTCACTTCTCTGGAAAGTTAGATTAAATTGGTAATATTCTTTGTAGTTCTTTTGAAGGTTGCAATCTAGTCTTATGTTTGGAATTATCTGGGTCTATTTGTGTTTCCACTCACTATTGGATCCTCAGTGCTTACCACACATGACTGGCACTTGGCAGTTGTTACAAGGAATGAATGACTGCTTGGAATAATTCTGTTGTTATGGAAATACTTTTTTTTTTTTAAGGATTTTATTTTTAACTAATATCTACACCCAGAGTGGGGCTTGAACTCACAATCCTTAGATCAAAAGCCACACACTTTTGTGACTGAGCCAGTCAGATGCCACTGGAAATACCTTTTGATTTATCAACTTAAGACTTATTATTATTCATGAAGTGCTAGGCACTCGTGTGCTGTATAATTATATAATTAATTACATTTTTCACAAATGTAAATGCATTTTTGCTTCTAAAATACATTATTGCTCCTAGTTTACGAATGAGAAAATAAGTCTTCAAAAAAGCTATTTAGGACAGCGTGGGTGGCTCGGCGGTTTAGCGCTGCCTTCGGCCCAGGGCGTGATCCTGGAGACCCGGAATCGAGTCCCCCGTCGAGCTCCCTGCATGGAGCCTGCTTCTCCCTCTGCCTGTGTCTCTCATTAATAAATAAATAAAATCTTAAAAAAAAAAAAGTTATTTAACTTGCCCGGATAAAAGACATCAAAAAAATATTTGAACCCAGGCCTATGCATTTATTTACATTATTACCCTTATTTGCCATTATTGGTGTCTTTGTTCATCAATATATGTCATCATATATAGCTCCTTTTCAAAATCACTTAATTTTTACATTACAAATTGGGAAATAGGGCACTTTGAATACGGGGCAAAGAAACAGACCATTGTATTGGGACGGGCAGCAGGGGAGCTATTCTCCCTCTCCCCAGCACTAACCAGCTGTATGTCTTTGCACTTCCATAAGAAAGGCTATATAAAAAGATAGTAAAAAAATAAAAAAAATAAAAAAAAAAGATAGCAAAGCTGACCTGGCTGCCCTTAAGAAGAAATGTAGTCCAACGCCTTCGTTTTATAGATGAGAGAGCTTGTATAATTGACAACGTGGCCGAGCTGGACAGGCAACTCCTAACTGCTAATGCTGTTTGTTCTGAGTCAACCTAGCCCTCCCTGAACACTTACTGGATGCCTACTGTATGAGGCATCTGGCAGGAGTGGTTCCGGTTTGGTAGGCCACTACTGACTTCCTCCTCCTCCTCCTAATGCTGCTACTTTCTTACCCGCCCACCCCCGCCCCCTCCGCGCTTTTTTTTTTTTTCCCCTTTTTTCTCCACTGCATTACTTTTAAAACCGGCCTTGGATGCTGAGTTAAATGGGGAAAAGCGTAGTGCAAGCCCGGCGTCAGTGACGGGACCCTGGTGGGCAGCAGGTCCCGGTAGCGATCTAGGAAGGCAGTGACGCCTTCGGACCCAAGGAGCGACTCTTCTACAATCCGGGTGTACGAGGTGGAAGGGAAGGGCGATGCTGCGTCTCTGCAAGGCAACGCCTTTGGCTTTTCAGTGACCCCACGGGGAGGGCAACGGGAGGACTCTCCTGTGCAAGATGCCTACGCATTTGGCTTCTGCAGCAGGGTGACTGGCTGCCCAGGGCATTCGGCCAGGTGTCCGGGGCTCTCTCCCCACCGGGTTTATCCTGAATTCCAAGTCTGCAGCTGACGTTCCTACCTAGGCCGCCACGGCTGACCCTGAAAGGGACTTTTCCACCACCGTTGTGGGCTGACAGCCCTCAGCGGCCGCGTGGCCCCGCCCCGCCACGGCTTGCGCCGGGGGCCAGAAGGCCGGCAGGGGTCAAGTTCCCTCAGGGGTCCCAGGAAAGGCCACAGCTGAGGGGCTGCCACGCGAGGCCTTCTGGGCGGACCGCAGCCAATCCTCAGGAGGCATACACGAGCCGCAGCCAATCAACGTCCGCCTTATTCCTGGGTCCCGCCCGCCCCGGCCTTTTCTCCCTGCCCCCCCTTCCCCGTGCCTGTAGTCGCGGCTGAAGCTGCAGCCGCCTCCACAGCTGACCGGGCTCTGAGGATTGGCCTCCTGCTGGCACCGTTGGGTTTCTGCAGTTGTCTTCACTGAGGATGTGTCCCTGCGCCGCTGTGTGCCCGTCTCGCGGAGACCACCGGCGCACTTTCATCTAGCGACTGGTGAGGGAGCGCTGTGCGCGGCCTCCGCGTGCGGAGCGGGCTGAGGCGCCGGCGCTCTTCAGCCGGGGGCCGATGGGACAGTATTCACTTTCCCGGGGGTGCGGGTGACCGGGGACGCCAGTGGCGCGGGTGGGCCGCGGGGAGGGAAGCCAGTGGCTCGGAGGCACGGAGCGGGCCGAGTGGCCGGGCTCCCTGCCTCCGCCTTCCCGCAGCCTCGCGCAGCGTCTGAATGGTCTGTTCTGCGACGTGCTACGTTGCCGTCTTGCCCGACACGCCCTCCAGCGTTGTCGCCTTGCTAGTCTCAAGATAGTTGTCGGTGTCGCCTCCCTTCAAGCCTGGGATTCGAACCCGTTCTTTGAAGCGTTATCCCCTCGTAGGGCCACCTGTTCTTATTCCACTATGGTGACACTGACTCTGAAATTCTGTGTCGGTCGACCATTGTGTGAAAAGGGACCGGTTCTTTATTGGGGGTGGGGGAGACAGGACAGAGGCTTTTTATTGTGATCATGCTTCCTGGTTCTAAAAAGTTGTAGTTCAGCAAAATCGGTGAGCACGGGCATTCTTGACTACTGTTCTCCAGCCTAGTTAATAAAACTTAAAGATATTTTTAAGGAAGCAGAAATTGATGTAAACCCCCCTCCCCCCGCTCGCTGCCCCCTCCTCCCTCCCATGCTTCCAAGCAGGGCGTTTGAAATTCGAAATTTATCAGAATTACTAAAAGAATGTGACTTCTGTGAGTGTGTTTCTCTACCCAGGATGTACCGATTCACATCCTTGCATAGCCGCTTCTTGATCTTCTCACTCCTTCCTCTGTTTTGAATTCCTTGATTTTTATTGGTTTTAGAAACAAAGATGAGGACAGAAAGGTCTGCTTTCTTTTTTCTTTTTTTTTTTAAAGATTTTATTTATTCATGATTGAGAGAGAGAGAGGCAGACACAGGCAGAGGGAGAAGCAGGCTCCATGCAGGGAGCCCGGCGTGGGACTCGATCCTGTGTCTCCAAGGTCAGGCCCTGGGCTGAAGGTGGCGCCAAACCGCTGAGCCACCCGGGCTGCCCAAGGTCTGTTTTCTAAAAAGAATTTGTTACAGATATTTGCAGAAACTTAAGAGTTTACTTCAAGAAGTTTTTTTTAAAAATGGCTGTTCCATGATTTAAAAAAAAAAAAAACAAAACCCAAACCCCAAAGAAACTTGTATTGAGGGTTCTTAGTATGCTAAATTTTATGAAGGAACTTAATAAATTCTTTTACACGCATTATACTTTGGGACCGTATAAAGTTCAATAGACCATAAGTGAATTTACCTATTACATAAAGGAGCTCCGTATTACTTGGTTTATTATTATAAGTATTATCAAAGTCAGTTTACTGTTATCAATAGGTCAATAATTTATTGCTACATGTAGAGATGTGCTTGCCCCCTAAAACTTGGAGAATTTTTCTGTTGTGAAACTGAGTATTGCTCTGATAAAGCATTGAAGTTTCTGTTTTGTACCAAGAAAATATTTGAGAAAACGTTAGACTAAAATAATATTGATGAAGCAAAATTACTAATTTCCTAAGGAAGTAAGTGCTTGTGTTTTAAAATTGTTATGTGAGGGATCCCTGGGTGGCGCAGCGGTTTGGCGCCTGCCTTTGGCCCAGGGCGCGATCCTGGAGACCCGGGATCGAATCCCACGTCGGGCTCCCGGTGCATGGAGCCTGCTTCTCCCTCTGCCTGTGTCTCTGCCTCTCTCTCTCTCTCTCTGTGTGTGTGTGTGTGTGACTATCATAAATAAATAAAAAAAATGAAAAAAAATAAAATTGTTATGTGAATTATTTTCAAGGCTTATAGAAGGAATTAAAAAAAATTAAACTCTAATTTTGAGTTACAATTTGTAGCTTTGTAACAGTTAATATAGATACAAGTTTAAAAGAAATATATTTTGGTATTAGTGCTTTTACAAATTTACTTACTGATTACATATATATAGAGTGAGACATAGGGAGAAATAGGACATCCCCCCTCCCCAAGGAACTTAAAACCTTTGTGTACATAAGGGACATACTAACAGGGCAAGTTATTATCATCAACTTTGCAGATGGAGAAATAGGACTAGGGAGATTAAGTTATTTGTCCAAGGTTTTAGATAGTAGGAACCTAATTCTTATGACTACAAATAAGGATAACTTTTTTCATACTACACTATTCTATTTCTCATTAATATCTCCTAACTACATTTTGAGAGAGCAATATGAGTAGAGTAGAATAGATAGAATCTAGAGTAAACTTTTCTATATTTGTGATTTTGGATAGGCTACTTAAACTTTCACGTAAATTTCCTTTCTGTAAAATGAAGGTTCTCACATATAAAGAGGCAATATGAGTCTGAAATTTGTGTAAAGCCTGTGGTTGTCTGTATCATAGTTCAGAAGATGGTCGATACCTGTTTTGTAACTTATGGGCACGTTGGCAGTCATGTAAGGGTTTGAGTGAAAAGCATTCCAAGCAGAAAGGACTCTAATATAAAGTAATGCCATTTTGTGACCTGTATACTAATATGTCCTCTTCCCCCTACCCACCATTCTTTTTTTGAAACATTTGTTGGGTGCTTACATATGAATAAATGGTCTCATTTATTTTTCAGAACAACTCAGGAGATAAATAGTTGTTCCCCACTTTATACAAGTGAGAGAATTGAAGCTTAGGAAATTGTAATGTGTCTAGGATTATTTAGTCAGTAGTGTACTAATGGGTTCCTAGCTCTGGTGTTCTGAATTTAGATCTGAATTTTACATGCTACATGATCTTCAGGCCTAATTGATATCCTCTTCCTGAGATCACAAGACTAACCTTAACACATAAAACATAGATATTGGGCTTAGATTTGTCAGAGAATGGCATGATGAGATTTGTGTTTTAGGAAGATACCTAAACTCCTAACCAAGGATAAGTGGAACAATTATGAGGTCTCTACTTCTACTGGCTAACACCTTTGTGGTGGCCCAGTGCTCAAGGCTGAACAAAATTACCTGTAGCTGGCTATACTGCTCCAACTCAGTTTCCCATCAGCATTTTTATATTCACATATAAAACAATTTTTCACCTTTAATTTTTATTTGTTGGTTTTTAAAAGTTTGTTTTGTTTTTCTAATTTCCAAAGTATTTAACCCTTACTCTACTTCTTGGCTGTTCTATCTGTAATCAGGCTAGAAACTTGGGAGTTCACCACATCTTGTCAGTTCAAGAGCTTAAATATATCTAAGTGTGTCTCTGAATCGCTCACTTTCTTTAGACCTAAAGAAAGGCACAGAAAGCTGTCTATAATCTGACCCATCCGTGTGTATATATTAGGCCTCACTCTTTTCTGTCTTCTGAATTACTTGGAATTTTCAGAATAGACGAAAATGATTCTAATGCTTTCATTTATATTTATTGTTCCCTCTGACTTGAATGCCTACCCACCCTGAATTTATCAGGCAAACATGTACATCCTGATGTGGGAAATCTCTCTTTCTTGTCAACTCCCTATTTCTATGAGTCACTTGCTTTATCTTTATTATAAGTTTATAATCATGTTTTTATTGTTTAAATAAAATCAGTCTCCTTTATCAAATTGTGATCCTTTGATGGTAGATTATAATAGGTAATAAATTTTGTTCATTGAATGCAGATGTTAAATGAGCTGTAGTTTCACTTAAGTATTATCCATGAACTTGTATTTTTTTCATGTTATCTAAAATATTTGTATTTATTTTGTATGTCCAGTACCTTGTGACCTGCTGTGGATTCATTAGAGAGGCAGTAGTGTAGTAGAAATAGCGTGGACTTTGCTGTTAAACAGATCTATGCTTAAATTCTAACTCCTCTTTTATTGGTGCTATGATTTGGGTGGCTTAAACCTGTTTGATATGTAAGATATCCAGTATGTATCAGGTGCTTAATAAATATTTATTTTCGTTGCTTTCTTTGCCTTCAGTAAGCATTTGCTGAATGCATAAATAACATTTACACTGGTAATTGGAAATATGGGCCTGGAGTTTAGGAAAGATGTGAGGGTAGAAGACATATTTGGGGGTTATGAGCATATCAGTTACAGTTAAAAGCTAGAAAGAGATTGAAATTACCCAAGGAGAATATGAAGTAGAGGGGAAAAGAAGATTGAGGATGAAACATTGAGAGAAGCCCAAAATTTGAAGGTAAGGGGTAGAGATAACGTCTTTGGAAGATGTGGTGAGATGGAGTCCATGCTTAAATGCTTCAAGTATCCCTTCCTAAATACCTTAGGAGAATGCCAGATTAATGACCAAAAGCAGGTAAGTAAAATAAAATAAGAACTGAAAGTAGTGGAGTGCCTGGGTGGCTCAGTGGGTTAAACGTCTACCTCCAGCTCAGGTCATGATCTCAAGGTTCTGGGATCCAAAGCCATGTGGGCCTCCCTGCTCAGTGGGGAGTTGGCTTCCCTCCCTCTGCTCCTCCCCCTGCATGTGTATATTCTTTCTCTCTCCCTCTCTCAAATAAATAAATAAAAATCTTTAAAAAACCAACAACTGTGAGTAGCTAAAAGTATCTGGCAGTTTGGAGGTGATTTTGGTAATCTTAGTGTATGTAGTTTAATTGGAGAAGTATAGAAGTATCAGGGAAACCAGGTTGCAGAGACCGTGAAACCCAAACATGAATTTTGAGATTAAATTTGTTACCCTTTTGTTACAGAAGTAATATTAGTAATTAAAAGATATTATTTGTTGATTGCCTGTTTTGTTCCAGGTACTAGACTAAGCAATTTCATTTACAGTAACCCTGTGAGGTTGGTGACATTGTCTTTGTTTTCAGATGAAGAAATGAGAGATTATGTAATTTTTAGTTATGTAACTAGTAACAGCTGGCATTACTATATTTGAATCCAAATATGTAAGACTCTCAGAAACTCTAGCTCTTAGTCACTTCCATATTTATGTTCATAGTATTCTATATGTTTCTCTATATATTATAGTATGCTATGATTTTTACATTTAATATTCCTTTTTTCCATTTAAATTGTCTATATAGTAACAGTTATGGAATTTTCTATAGTTATACGTTAATTCTTTCATGTAATGTTTGAGTTATTTGCCAATAAGTAGTTCTTCTCAGGTATTATGAATACACTAAAACTACAACGGTGGGAAGATATTTAGAGCCTCCAAAGAATGAAATTAACTACAGTTGACTATTTTGCCATGTATCTCATTTTCCAGTTTTCACATTTTAAACTACTTGAAGCTTTGGTACCTTTTTGTTTTTGATACCAATCAACAGTTGGGATAAATGTTATAAGGCTTATATCAAGTTATAAAACATACAGACTAGTAGAAACAATTGAGGCTAAAGAGGATTGGGAGTCCTCTAATTCTGTGCTGTCACTTCCAGATGGGAAAGTCAGAAAGGGAAGAACTAGTTAAATTTAGGACTTTTGACTCTTAATGTGGTTTGAAATGGGAGTTAAAAGTGCAGATTTGCACTATCTATGGTGCACAGGAGGTTTCCCTATACATACAGTAAACTCATCATATGTCCCTCTTTTTTTTTTTTGGTCCCTCTAAATAACTGCCTCATAAGTGTTTTTCTGATCACTCAGTGTGTATTTAAAAAGTTAAAATGAGGGTTCCCTGGGTGGCTCAGTCATGTAAGTGTCTGCCTTCATCTCGGGTCATGATCCCAGGGCCCTGGGATGGAGCCCTGGGTCTGGTTTCCTGCTTGGCAGGGAGCCTGCTTCTCCCTCCCTCTTTCCTGCTCCCCTTGCTTGTGGGTGGGCTCTTTCTTTGTGTGTCAAATAAATAAATCATCTTTAAAAAATTAAAATAAATAAAGTATTTTGGGGAATTTAAGTTTTATTTTTAAAATTCATTCAATTTATTTCAAACAAAAAAAAAAGCCAGTTGAACTAGTTCATCCATTTCTGCACCCCTACCCCCATCTTAGAAATATCAATCTATTCTCTTTGTGAGCTTGTTTTGTTTTTTAAAAATACCACATATGAGAGTCATAAGCTATTTTCTTTCTTCTGATTTATTTCACTTAGCATAATGCCCTTGAGGTCCATCCAAGTTGTTGCAAATGGCAAGATTTCATTTTTTTTAATGGCCGAATAATATTCCATTGTGTGTGTGTGTGCACGTGTGTATGTATAACTTCTTTATCCGTTTATCCATTGATGGACGCTTAGGTTGTTTCCATATCTTGGCTATTATAAATAATGCTACAGTGAACATGGGGAATCCATCTATTTTTTCAAGTTAGTGTTCTGTTTTCTTTGGATAAATATCCGGAAATGGACTTGCTGGATCATATGGTAGTTCTGTTTTTAATTATGGGGGGAGCCTCCATACTATTTTCCACAGTGGTTGTATCAATTTACATTCCCATCAATAGTGTAAAAGGGTTCCTTTTTCTTTACATCTTTGCCAACAGTATTTATTTATTTTTATAATAGCCATTCTGAAGGAGTGAGGTAATATCTCATTGTGATTTTGATTTGCATTTTCGTAATGATTAGTAATGTTGAGCATTTTTTTTGTACCACTGGGCACATTTGGAAAATTGTCTATTTAGATCTTTTGCCCATTTTTTTTTAATCAGATGGTTTGTTTTTTGCTCTTGAATTGTATGAGTTCTTTGAATATTTTAGTTTGATTAGCCCTTTGTGAGATGTATGACTTGCAAAAATTTTTCTCCCATTCAGTAGGTTGGTTTTTCATTTTGTTGATGGTTTCCTTTGCTATGCAGGAGCTTTTTAATTTGATGTGGTGCCACTTGTTTATTTTTGCTTTTGTGACTTTTGCTCTTGGTGTCAGATTAAAAAAATAATTTCCAAGACCGATGTCAGGGAACTTACTGCCTGTTTTCTTTTGGGAGTTTTTGGTTTCAGGTCTTATAAGTGTTTAAAACCATTTGAGTTAATTTTTGGGTATGATTTAAGATAGGGAGCCAGTTTTATTTTGCCTGTGGCTGTCCAATTTTTCAACACCCATCTATTGAAGAGATTGTCCTCTTGCCATTGTGTATTTTTGATTCCTTTGTTGTAAATCACGTATGCATGGATTTCTTTTCCATTGATCTATGTGTTTCTTTGTATGCCAATATCCTACTGTTTTAATTACTAGTTTGTAATATAGTTTGAAATCACAGGTTGTGCTGCTACCAGCCTTGTTCTTCTTTCTCAAGGTTGCTTTGGCTACTTGGAGTCTTTTTTGGTTTTAAGATTGTTCTGTTAAGTATTTATGATCAGTTCCTTGGAGAAGAGAATTTATATAGAATTTCTGTTATAAAAGTTTTAAAATCTAACCATTATGAAATAGATTGACTGGTTATTTAAAATACGGAGGACTGGGGTGGGCGCCTGGGTGGCTCAGTCGTTTTAACCGTCTGCTTTTGACCCAGATCATGACCTCAGGGTCTTGGGATCAAGTTCCACAAGGTTTCCTGCTCAGTGGGGTGTGTGCTTCTCCCTCTCCCCCTACCGGTTCCTGCTCTCTCTCGCTCTCTCTCTCTCTCAAATAAATAAATAAAATCTTAAAAAAAATCCAGAGGACTAAAATAAAATAAAATCCAGAGTACAAAAATATTGAAAGAAAAATAATTAGGAGATAATAAATAAAAAGATGATGGAGAAATGTTGAATGGAAAGTAGTTCACTCTAGATATAAAATTTCTAATATATAGGTGGTTAGTTTTCTAACAGGATGTAAAGAAACTGAAGAATAGTAATTTATCATATCATATAGTTGACATTGTATTTCATTTCTCCAGATCTGAACAGGGGAAAGCAGACAGTGTAGCATATTGGAAAAAAAGGAAATAAAGGCTCTTATATGGTGGCTGAGTTTTCTAGATTTTCCTACAGCCTGTCTAATCAATATATTAGTATTTCTATTTTTTGGATGTTTATTTTTGAATAGGTATTCATGCTCATGGTAAAGCATTCAAAATTGGGTCATTGTAAAATATAAGTAAGTGTGCCTTCCATTTCTGTCTCCAGCTAGTGGTGCTCTTCTCCATAGGAACTGCTGTTAATCATTTTCCTGTGTATTCTTGGAGACATCTTTTGTACATATTCATGCATAATCATGTAAATACATATACATTTTTTCCAGAAAGAGTATTAATTTACATCTCATTTTAAAGAACATTGTACAGTGTATCTTATTAGAGATTATTTCATATAAAAATACATAGTTGCTTCATTCTTTTTGATGCATGAATAATACTCTTTTGCATGGATATACTTTTAGCTATTTAGGGTTTTTCCATGCTTTACTATTTCAAACAATGACTCAGTGAATATTCTTGTACTTATGCCATTTCACACATAATGTAAGGTTTTACAAGATAAATTCCTAGAAGTAAAATTGTTTGGGTCAGAAAAAATGTGTATTTTAAATTTTAAATTTTCATAACTATACTAAATTGCTCTCCAAAGAGATTATATGAGTGTATATGTTTACTGGCAATGGAGTAGGTATGTATTTTCTTACAATCTTGTCAGTACATAATATCAACCTTTTGATCTTTGCTATCTTGTTAGATTAAAAAGTGGTATCTTATTATAGTTTTTTTTTAAGTTTTTATTTAAATTCCAGTTAGTTAACAGTGTTATATTAGTTTCATGGATACAATGTAGTGATTCAACAATTCCATGAATCACCCTTTGTTCATCACTGACAAGTGCACTCCTTAATCTCCATCGCCTATATAACCCTCCCCCCACCTCTCCTGGTAACCATCAGTTTGTTCTCTATAATTAAGGCCCTGTTTCTTGATTTTTCTCTTTTTTCCCTTTGCTCATTTGTTTTGTTTCTTAAATTTCACATTTGAATGAAATCATATGGTATTTGTCTTTCTCTGACTGACTTTGCTTAAGCATTATACTCTCTAGCTCCATTCATGTTGTTGTATGGTCTCTCATTATAGTTTTAATTTACATATCTTTTGAGTGAGATGAGTCTATTAAAAAAATCTGTTTAAATTACCCCCCCCCCCTTTTTTTGAAAGTATCATATTCTTTGAGTTTTATTCTGTTGGTCTCTAATTTGTAGAGACTATATGGTAAGGTAGATTTTCTCCTTTTTTGTCTTAAAATTTTTTTTAATGTAGGCTTTAAACTGATTAAATTTTTATAATTTTTATAATTCTCAAATTTCAGATTATGCTTTAAAAGTCCTCTTGTACTTTGAAATTGTAAAAAAGAATCTCCCATGCTTCTCGTGTTTTTATGGTATTATTTTTGTTTATCATTGCCCCATCTGGAATTTATATTGGTATAAGGTATAAATAAGTATCTAAAAGTTTTTTTTTTCACGTTGATACCTAGTTGTTTTGATACCTGATATTTAATTATCATCTGCTCGTATGGTGAAGGACTTTCCAGGCACAGAGAACATTATTAGAGTGTCTAGCCCTTAATAAAAACTGAATGATGAGAGAGAGGATTGGCTTTTGTGGTGGTGATGGGTGGTGTTGGATGGTGATGGTGGTGAAATAATTTTAGGGGGTAAAGTTTTGAGATGGGATTGTTATAAAGATGGTAGAATTAAGTGTGCTTATAATTTGTGGGGACATAGCTAGTAGAGTGTAAGAATACAGGGGAGAAGGAATGAAGCTTTTGGAAAGAAAGCGATGGACTCCAAAGTATAGATACAGTGGTTGACCCCAAACAGGAGACTGGACAAAAGGCGGTAAAGCTGATTGATATAGTTCTAGAATTCTGTGGATGTGAAGTATGAAGGTGAAAAGGTGATACATTTTTATTTATTTATGTGTTTGAAATAGGAATTGGGGCACTTATTTTTTTAGGGGGCACTTAAATATAGAGGTAGTTGTAAAGCACTTGAGAGTGAGGGGTAAATTTTGTATTTTTTACTTTTTCTTTCTCTTTCTTTTATAGGTCACCCTTGCAATTATGGATATTTAAAAGGATCAGACAGTGTGGAGGGGGAGTTCCCCTCCTCACTCCCCCTTGGTGCTTGATTCCAGGAATAATTTATAAACTGTGGAAAGTTTTTTTTTTAATAAAGAATTTGCATTTGATATAAACTTTATAGAACTATTTATAATTTTTTGATTTAAGTGCCAAAATAAATTGTACAAAGATATATAGTTTTATACTATTGCCATTGAGGATTTAAATTATAATCCTAAACAAGTCATTTATTCTCTATAAATCTTACTGAATAGCACCTTTTTGTCCTGGCTTTTTTATTTTTAAAAATTAGTCTTAACTATTTCGAAGAACTACTAAGCAGTATAAAACAATTAGGATGAATTCTTCCATCCCTGACTGCACATCAAAGTGTCGATCCCTGAAGCATGCTTTGGATGTCCTTTCTGTCGTAACAAAGGGGAATGAAAACCAGATTAAGGCCTTTCTCTCCAGTTATTGTTACAATGCTGCAACTATCAAAGATGCCTTTGGCAGAAACGCCCTCCACCTTGTTTCCTCCTGTGGAAAGAAAGGAGTATTAGATTGGCTTATTGAGAAAGGAGTGGATCTGCTGGTGAAAGACAAGGAATCAGGATGGACAGCTTTGCACAGAAGCATTTTTTATGGACATATTGATTGTGTTTGGTCTCTCTTGAAGGTAAGTATCATTTGTTTACTTAAAACTGTTTGGTCTGGTATATGTTTTTCTTAGTCTGTTTCAAACACCCCATTTATTTTCCAGAGATTTGAGTTTGTTCTTATCAATTGTTTGTTATCTTTTACTATTGTAACCGACTCATCTTTAGAATTCAAATCCCATATATATTTTTATTTAGACTTTTTATGATGTAGATTTTAAGCATATACCAAAGTTCCAATACATAGTGGACTGTTGGCTAGTTATGTTATACATGTCCCTGCTGTCTTATCTCCTACTATTTTGAAGTAAATCCCACACATTTTATCATTTCATCAGTATTATGTATCTTTTAGTACATTTTTAAAAAACATTTTATTTATTTATTCATGAGGGACACAGAGAGGCAGGGGGAGAAGCGGGCTCCATGTAGGGAGCCTGACGTGGGACTCAATCCCGGGTCTCCAGGATCACGTCCTGGGCTGAAGGCAGGCGCTAAACCACTGAGCCACCCAGGCTGCCCATCTTTTAGTATTCTTTTTTTTTTTTATCTTTTAGTATTCTTAAGAAAAATGATACACTTTTTTGTAACTGTTATTAGCTTTAAAAGGGCACTAGTTATTGAAATATAACATTTAGGGACTGTTTTTGGGTACTATGTTTCTTCTTGTTTGGCTAGGATATAGTTGTAAAAAAAATAGAGTCAGTTTAATTGAATTGAAATTTCCCACTAAGTAAATTAAATCTAGATTTGTTGTACTGTATAGTCAAATAATGAAGTTTTCTGAGATGTATCCCAATGTCATTTCACTGATGAATGCACGTTAACAGTCAAAAGTCATGAGTTTTAAATGGAAAAGTTTTTTTTTGTACAGGCATTTTGTCATGTTTGTAGAGGATACAGAGAAGAGCAAAACACTTCATTGTCCTCAAGGAATTTATGGTCACATTAGGGAGTTTATCTTCAGTGTCTTCATCTATTTTTGATTTTAAAAAAAGTTTACTAATAGTACTGGTAATTCCTCTTATATCTAAAACGTTTGAATATTGGTTCAATTCCCTTTATTTTATACAGAAAGCTAGGTTGGTAAGAGTTAACACATCTTACCAGATCTACTCTTATCCTCTCCCACCTCTAAAACCTCACCTTTTTAACAGTTTCTGCTAGAAAGTTGGATGACTCCTAGTCCTGTCAAGCTTATGAGCATCCTTGGGTTTTCTCTTGTCATAGGAATTGCCATTCAGGTGTCAAGATTTGGGGCTTCAGTTTGAAATAGGGCCTGGTCTGAATTTTGAACCTTCCTTCCCTTTGAAGTTTCATTTCCCTTTAGAAATCCTCATTCTTTCCTCCTTGGCTAAGAGAAGCCAGAAAATTGTGCCTTTGGCCACCTTGTGCTTGGCTTGATTGTCATTTGTCATCATCAAAGCCCAACTGATCAATGATAGATATCTAAGAGTGGATACATTGCAGTGGTAAAATTTTCCCACAGAAACCTTTTCCTATCCATTTAGTATTCATGTCTCAACATAGCATATCCTTTTTTCCTTTGACCTTTTAACATCATTTAATTGGAAGGGACGCAGTGATTGGGGTGTGCATGTCACTTCTATTTCTGGACAACTGTAGCATTTAAAGTATTATGACAACTGTAGCCCTTAAGGTATTATGGTTGGCAGAGAGAGACTATACACAAGTACACATTTTAAATAAATTGCATTTGATAACAACTTTATAGCTATAAGACTTTTTAATTACCAAAACAAATTGTACAATAAATATACACCTGTACTACCGGTTCCTGATTGCCAAAGATAAGAGAAACCTCAGCAGAAACTACTTGTCTACCAAAAACTGGAATAGAGACAGCCTATCTTATACATATCTTCTTTGACTCCTTGATTTCATGACAAGATGAGTGGCTGTCAAAGACTCTTTATGCTTGTAGGGTCCTGTTGTATGTTATTGGTATATCATTGTTTTTTCATACAAATAGTTTACTTACATTTCTATTCTGGAAAAACTTGCTTTATTTTCATTTTTATTTTTTTAAAGAGTTTATTTTATTCATGAGAGACACAGAAAGAGAGGCAGAGACACAAGCAGAGGGAGAAGCAAGCTCCTCAAGGGGAGCCTGATGTAGGACTCAATCCCAGGACCCTGGAGATCGCGACCTGAGCCAAAGGCAGTTGCTCAACAACTGAGCAACCCAGGTGTCCCAAAACTGCTTTAATTTTCTTCATTTGTAAATAGAACTAACCTAATCATAAGGTTGTATGGATTAAATGCTCTGCTATTTGTAAAGTATTTGGAACAATTTTTTTTTTTTTGAGTGCCTGATGTGTTCCACTGATCTAGGCACTGATCTAGGTCATAGGGATATGTAATGAACACAATAGACAGGTTAAAATAGAGATAAGTCTAATTGTTGAATGTCTTAATAAACTGTCAGCAAGTACCAAAAGTTTTTTTTTTCCAAAGATTATTCTCAAAAAGAACATTTTATATTTAAAAAACTGTAGTGAAGTTACAACAATATCAATTGAACATTACTATCTGTCCCCCTACCCCTCTTCTATTATATTTTAAAAGATAGAAAAGTATGGTATTAGGGATAGGGTGTGCTAACTGCCTTATATAAGTGGGACAGAAAATGTTCTCTTTCATGTTTGATTTTGAACTGTGAAGATATAAAAATTACTTTAAATTCATCCTTAAAACACATAGACACATTCTCAGATTTTTTTATTAGGATTTATAAGAAGCTACAATTAAACATTGCTTTAAAGTTTGAATACAAAGATGAAAACCTGTATCGCACTAATAGAAATAAAGGAATAGAATTGTCTTAAATGTAAATAACAGACGTAACAAAATTCAAGGCAGGAAGAGATGCAGCCTAGATGATCACATCATATTTATAGAAAGTAAATTCTGATATCAATATCGTCCTGCCGTTATTTGAAGTCTTTATAGCTCTTAACTGAACTAGACATGGAGCATGGCTCTTTTTTTTTTTAATTTTTAATTTATTTATGATAGGCACACAGTGAGAGAGAAAGGCAGAGACACAGGCAGAGGGAGAAGCAGGCTCCATGCACAGGGAGCCTGACGTGGGATTCGATCCCGGGTCTCCAGGATCGCGCCCTGGGCCAAAGGCAGGCGCTAAACCGCTGCACCATCCAGGGATCCCACCATGGCTCTTTACATACATAAAGTATATGTGTGCAAGCACAGGCACATACAGAGAGACCCAGAGCTAGGGCAGCTAGACTTGCCTAACTGTAGAAAATTTTCATGTCTAGTTCATTTTGATTTTAAATGTTACTTATTTGTTCATGTTTCTAGTTCTTATTTTAAGAATTAGATTTTTGATTTTTTTTTTTTTTTTTTGGTTCTCTTCTGTGTGTGAAAAAATGTGGGTGGGCATAGGAGGTAACATATATTTATATATTTATCTCTCTCTCTCTTTTTTTTTTTTTTTTAGCATGGTGTTAGTCTGTATATTCAAGACAAAGAAGGCTTGTCAGCTTTGGATCTTGTAATGAAGGATAGACCAACTCATGTAGTATTCAAAACTACTGGTAAGAAAATTCCGCAAATATATTTCATGAAGATACAGCTGAGAAAATTTTAGTGAAGCTTTGTTCATTTTAAAATACATGAGAAAATTTGTGTGTGGATATCTGCAAAGAACTTTTATCTTGGTGTATGTTAGCTGATTATTTTGGGTTTTTATTCAGAACTCTGATTTATTTTGTATTTTCAGTTTTAATCTATATTATGTCTGTGAGAATAAAAACATAGCCAAGTGGGAAGACAATTAGAATTGTAACTACTGTAAAGTAATTAATGTGCATCCAGAAAGCAACATCAGTACTTGAGGTAGAAGGGAAAAGGAAGTGATTCTTCTACTTTCATATCTTTTTGATTTTGCTTATTTCTCTAATTTGTGTGCCTTTGAACTTTGGAAATGGGAATTGGTGGAAAAGGAGAAGAAGTTTACATGAGTCCACTCTATAATTTGCATTTAAATAGTGAGCAAGCTAAATAAGGACACATTCTTTTTTCATTTTTATTTCTATCCTTGATACTGTATTGCAAGTTATAGTTATAATTCCATTCAAGAATGGTATGTTATATGCCTTCCAAAATAAAAATTAAGACTTAGATCATAAACTTAGCGGTGATTGATTTTTTTTTATTCCACTTTAATAGGTATCACTAGTGTGATTTTTACATCTATCAAGAGCAAACTATTGAAGTTAATATTTCTCTAGGAAAAGTAACTTAATGATACATTTGCTTCTTTTAGAACCTTTATATGTGTATATGTAACATATAAATAATATATGTATTAGTAACATTCTGTATTTAAGTAATTATTTTCATGGAAACTAAGTGGATACAGCAGGTGGTATTTTATTCATTTGGCAATTAAACTAGCTGCTAACAAAACCAGGAACAAGTATTAGATTCCTAGCATTGAGACAGACTTGTGCTGATTTAGATTTTCTGGTTTCTATTTCTAAACTTAGATAATATGTTAATAGTTTTATAATGTAAGAGATAAAGTTGACAGCGTCTTTCTAAATATGCTGGTTAAATTAGAGTCTGTGTTTGAGGTAAACTGATTAGTAGGGTATATAACTCAACTGTATTTGTTTTAAAATATTAAAGTATAAAAATTAATTTACATTTTAGATCCTACAGATGTCTACACCTGGGGAGATAATACAAATTTCACCCTGGGTCATGGAAGCCAGAATAGCAAACACCATCCAGAGTTGGTGGATCTGTTCTCCAGGAGTGGGGTTTATATCAAGCAGGTATTTTGAAGTACAATGAGAACTTTCAGAGATTAAAAATAACTTTTGTGTTTGATAGTTTATTTTTTATTTGGATTATGTTAACTTTGTGGAAGGGATAGTAACATTTTAATGAAGAAATCAATCAACAAAACTTCACTAATTCTATTTTAGATTTTGTTAGCTTTAATATTATTTAGATCATGTTAAATACCATAAAACTGAGATGTTTGTGCAAACAGTATTAGAAATTAGAAGGCAGTATAGAGATACTACTTTAAAAGGTAAGAGCTTCTATTGATTTTCTAGCATTTGTTTTCATTTCACAAAAATTATAGTTCTTCACATTGTTTCTCTAGTGAATTTGTTTTTGAAACTCACTGTTAGTTTCAGGTGAGCAAACCTGAGTTCTTAAATATGGGTAATTATAAAATTTTAGTTGATATAATTGTACAGTTTTGGTCTTTGGTCTTCATTATGCTGAATCATGTTTTCCACCTCCGTGGATTTTGTTACTCTTGACATACTCAATTTATTCCATAACGCAGTGTGTGTGTGTGTGTGTGTGTTCGTTCATCTGAGCTTACTAGGTCCTCATAATTCTTAAAATGCTATTCTGCCCATTAGCAGCCACTAATGATTGATCACAGGGCACTTAGAAAAGATACCTCTTTTCCTTTTCTGAGATAATACATGGTGTAGTTACCTTGTATGAGCTGAGATTTTCCAGGAGCAAGGATTTTTAAACAAGAGTAAAAGAATAAATGGTAGTGTTAGGAAACCAGATACTGGTTATACCTTCAGGTCCTAAGATATATGTGTTATGGAAGAAATGAGCATATTTATCCTTTGTTAGGATGAAATGGTACACTTAAGGAGAAAGCTATACTTAAGGCAAGGAAGTGAGAATATTTTGTGAAGAGATTAAGGATGTAAGGAATTTGATTTACCACAGAATGAGATTGAAGCAAGCACTGGATAGGTTATGAAGGAAGTCACTGTAAATTACAGTCAGAAAAGAGAAGACAAGTTTTATGGGAATATTTACTAAGCACCAGTTATACAGAGAGCCCCATTAGTAGTAATTGAAATGGACTGATTCTATACTCTAGAACTAAATGAATTAATATCATGGGGCAGATATTATTAATCTCAGCACAGTATATTCCAGAGAATTAAGATGAAAGGCATAATCAGTTACCTCCTTAAAAAAATTTGGAGGTTTGGGCAGCCCGGGTGGCTCAGCGGTTAGCACTGCCTTCTGCCCAGGGTGTGATCCCGGAGACCCGGGATTGAGTCCCACGTCCGGCTTCCTGGATGGAGCCTGCTTCTCCCTCTGCCTGTGTGTCTGCCTCTCTCTCTCTCTCTCTCTCTCTCTCTCTCTCTCTCTCTCTGTGTGTGTGTGTGTCTCTCATGAATAAATAAATAAAATCTTAAAAAAAAATTTAGAGGTTTCAAGGTTGGAAGACTTTTTCTTTTTAAGATTTTATTTATTCATGAGAGATAGAGAGAGAGAGAGAGAGAGAGAGAGGCAGAGACACAGGCAGAGGGAGAAGCAGGCTCCATGCAGGGAGCCCGACGTGGGACTCGATACTGGGACTCTGGGATCACACCCTGAGTCAAAGGCAGATGCTCAACCGCTGAGCCACCCAGGTGTCCCAAGGTTGGAAGACTTAAACTCTGGTATTGGTTGTTTAATATAAGTCAGGAATAGAATGGCATTCTAATATTGAGTATAAAACCAAGCAAAATGTATTATTTCTGGTTTCAAAAAATGATTTTTCCTTTACAGATTCTAAATTTGTGTTACAAATATGAATATAATGTTGGGTTTTATTTTTAGACTTTTTGGGTATTTGCGGTATAATTAAATGAATTAATGACTTTTTTATTACTTAGATAAATATACGTATTCACAGAACTTACCAAGTAATTAAAAGATATGTGTGAATAGAGCTTGTAAGTCAGCTTCTAACGTTCTTATTTTCCATAAGAACCTGATTTTCTGGAAAATAATTCTCCGATTGCTTTATTTTGTAATAATTTTTTATATCCAAAGTTAGAAATATTATAGGTGACATAAGAAATGTAAAAGCACATAATTTTTAAAAAGAAAAAATGATTTTTAAATGGTATTAAGGTAAAACTAATATACTGATATTAGATGGTTTGCAAAATAACAAAGTGTGGTGGAGGGGTTAAGTATGTATGTACATAAACAGGCATACTTTGTTTTATTGCACTTTGCTTTATTGGACTTCACAAATACTGGATTTTTTACAAATCGAAGGTTTATGGCAGTTTTGCATTGAGTAAGTCTTTGCCATTTTTCCAGTAGCATTTCTTTACTTCGTGTCTCTGTGTCACATTTTGTTAATTCTCTCAATAATACCAAACTTTTTCATTAGTATTATACAGTTGACCCTTGAAAAACATGGAGGTCAGGACACTTGAACCCCTCCATTCAATCAAAAATCCATGCATAACTTCTGACTCACCAAAAACTTAACTGCTGTTGATTAGAAGTCTTAACTGAGGAACATAGTCAATTAGCACATACTTACATGCATTATACACTGTATTCTTACAGTAAGGTAAGGTGGGGAAAAGAAAATGTTATTAAGAAAGTCATAAGGAAAGAGAATACATTAAAGTATTGTACTATATTTCCTGGAAAAATATCTGCTTATAAGTAGATACACACTGAAGTTCAAACTGGTGTTGTTCAGAAGTCATTTGTATATTTGTTCTGGTGATCTGTGATCAGTGATCTTTGATATTACTATTGTAATTGGTTTTGGGTACCACAACTGCATCCATATAAGATGGTGAACTTAATTGATAAAGGTGTGTGTTCTCATTGCTCCACTGGCCATTGTTCCCTACTTCTCTACCTTTTCTTGGGCCTCCTTAATTCTCTGGGACACAGATTATTGAAATTAGTTCTGTTAAGAACTCTGTAATGTCCTCTAAGTGTTTAGGTGAAAGGAAGAATTGAATGTCTCTCACTTTAAATCAAAAGCTAAAAATGATTAAGCTTAGAGAGTAAAGTGTGTCAAAAACTGAGATAGGTGGAAAAGTAGACCTGAACTAGCAAGTTGGCCAAGTTGTGAATTCAAAGGAAAAGTTCTTGAAAGAAAAAAGTGCTACTCCAGTGAACACACAAATGTTAAGAAAGTGCAACAGCCTTATTACCGGTATGGAGAAAGTTTTAGTGACCTTAGTATAAGATCAAACCAGACACGGGGGATCCCTGGTGGTGCAGTGGTTTGGCGCCTGCCTTTGGCTCAGGGCGCGATCCTGGAGACCGGGGATCGAATCCCGGTGCATGGAGCCTGTTTCTCCCTCTGCCTATGTCTCTGCCTTTCTCTCTCTGTATGACTATCCAAAATAAAAAAAATAGAAAAAAGAAAACTATTTTAAAAGATCAAACCAGACACAACATTCCCTTCGGCCAAAGCCTAATCCAGAGCAAGGCCTTTAACTCTCTTCAATTCTGTGAAGGCTAGGAGAGGCGAGGAAGTTGCAGAAGAAAATTTGAAGCTAGGAGAGTTTAGTGGGTTCATGAAGTTTAAGGAAAGAAGCCGTCTCGCTAACATCAAAGTGCAAGGTGAAGCAGCAGGTGCTGATGTAGATGCCCCAGCAAGTTATCCCAAAGATCCAGCCAAGACAATGCAGGCTGCTGCACTAAAAAAACAGATTTACAATGTGGACAGACAGCTTTCTATTGGGAGAGGTCAGTGAGTGGCTTCAAAGCTTCAAAGGACAGGCTGATTGTTTTGTTAGGGGCTAATGCAGCTGGTGAAGCCAGTGTTCACTTAACAATACTAAAAATCCTAGGTTTTTTTTTTTTTTTAAAGATTTTATTTATTCATGAGAGACACACACACACACACACACACACACAGAGGCAAAGACACAGGCAGAGGGAGAAGCAGGCTCCATGCAGGGAGCCTGACGTGGGATTCTATCCCAGGTCTCCAGGATCACGCCCTGGGCTGAAGGCAGCACTAAACTGCTGAGCCACCCGGGCTGCCCAAATCCTAGGGTTCTTAAGAATAATGCTAAATGTCTTCTGCTTGTGCTCTAAAACTAGAACAGAGCCTGGGTGATAGCATGGTTTACTGCATGGTTTACTGAATTTATGTCTTAAGCCCACTGTTGAGACCTACTACTCAGAAAGAAAAAAAGATTCTTTCAAAACATTATTGCTCGTTGATGATGCACCTCATCACCTGGGAGCTCTGATGGAGATGTACAATGTGATTGATGTTGTTTTCTTGCCTGCTAATGCAACATTCATTCTGTGGCCCATGGATCAAGGAGTCATTTTTGACTTTCAAGTCTTATTACTTAAGAAGCACATTTCACATGGCTATAGTTGCCATAGATAGTGATTCCTCTTACGGGTCTGGGCAAAGTAAACAGAAAATCTTCTGGAAAAGATTCACCGTTCCAGATGCCATGAACATTTGTGATTCACGGAAAGATGTCAAAATATCCACATCACAGGAGTTTAGAAGAAATTTGATTCTAGCCCTCATGGACGACTTTGAGGGGTTCAGGTCTTCACTGGGGAAAGTAAGTGCAGATGTGGTAGAAATAGCAAGAGAACTAGAATTAGAAGTGGAGCCTGAAGATGGGACTGCATCGTTGCCATCTCATGATCAAACTTGACGGGTTGAGGAGCTGCTTCTTATGGATGAGCAAAAGGTGTGGTGTCATGAGATGCATTCTACTCCTGGTGAAGATGCTGTGAAGACTGTTCAAATGACACTAAGGATTTAGAATATGATATAAACTTAGTTGATAAAGCAGTGTCAGGGTTTGAGAGGATTGACTTCAGTTTTTAAAGAAGTTCTACTGTGGGTAAAATGCTATCAAATAGCATTGCATGCTAGAGAGAAAACATTCATGAAAGGATGAGTCTGTTGATTTGGTTAACTTCATTGTTGAATTGTTTTAAGAAATTGCCATAGTCTTCCCCACTTTCAGCAGCCATCAACACTGAGGCAAGACCATCCACCAGTAAAAAGATTATGACTTGCTGAAACATCTGATGATGGTTTAGTATTTTCTAGTACTAAAGTATTTTTAAAATTAAGATATGTGCATTATTTTTTTAAAGACCCCGTACTATTGCTTATTTAACAGACTACAGTATAATAGAAACATAACTTTTATATGCTCTTGGAAACCAAAAATTAATTAGACTCACTTTACCGAGAAATTTTCCCTATTGTGCTAATCTGGAACCAAATCCACAATATCTACGAGATATGCCTGTATTTAAAACTGCTATTGGTTTCATATTATTGCCTTCCATGAAGTTTAGTCCTTTAATTAGCCTTCTGATAAGGGTATGTGAATATATAATTGCGTGTCAATAGGGCAAGGAGTGTTTGGAAAGATGGCAGGTAGAAAAGGAAATGGGGAAGAGGGTAAAACTTGAAAATAAGTTTTATTTAAAGCCATGTAATCATATTAAAGATATATTAGACAGAAACAGATATTAAAAGGACATACTATTGAACCACCAAACCCTGTATAGGCGATACCTTTTTTAAAATATTCTTAAGCCATATGTACTGTTTTCTTTAATAACATATTAGTATTTTTGATTTTTGTGCTTCATGTTGTACTGCTTCGTTCTTGTTTGTGATTTTATAGTTGGGAAACAGCTGACTACTGCTTTTCCTAGTTGAATGCTTGAGATTTGCATTATCCTTTGTTTAGTGTCTTTTGTGGGTAATATATACTTAAATGGGAAAAGGAAAAAAGAAATTATCAGCATTTGTAGACATAGTTTTAAAATTGTATTTTTAATATTTATTATAGAACTATATATTATAGTACATACATATATATACAAAATAGAATATATAATGAATTCCCACATACATGTCATCCAGCTTAAATAGCAGTATTCTGTAATTTATTCTTTTTATAAAAGTTATTTTATTCAGAGAAATTTAATCATATTCTTTTGTTTTCTCCTAGGTGGTGCTTTGTAAATTTCATTCAGTGTTTCTTTCTCAGAAAGGGCAGGTTTATACCTGTGGTCATGGTCCTGGGGGACGTTTAGGCCATGGAGATGAACAGACATGCTTGGTAATTGAAATGTCATTACCCATCTTAGGTAACTTCAGTAAAATTTCCCTAAAATGGAAGCTTCAGTTAACTAAAGAGACATTATTTTTAACCTACTATAAGCAGAGAGTAGTATAACAGTTGATTATAGAGTTAAAAAATTAGTTGTAGCACCTGGGTGGCTCAGTTAAGCCTCTGATTCTTGGTTTCAGCTCAGGTTGTGCTTTCTGGGTCTTGGGACAGAGCCTTGAGTTGGGCTCACTGCTCAGCAGGGAGTTTTCTTCCCTTTTACTCCTAATCCCCGCTTTTGCACAAACTCTCTCTCTGAAATAAATAAATCTTAAAAATCGTTTAAAAAAAGATCATTTAGATTCCTTGCATATCATGTTAAAAGCATTTAGATAGAGTTATTTTTTCAAAAAAATTTTTAAAGATAATATTTTATTTATTCATGAGAGAGAGAGAGAGAGGCAGAGACATAGGCAGAGGGAGAAGCAGGCTCCACATTGGAAACCTGATGTGGGACTCAATCCTGGAACCCCGGGATCACGCCCTGAGCCAAAGGAAGACAGACGCTCAACTGCTGAGCCACCCAGGCGTTCTGAAGCATCAAAGAAAAATTATATTTTGCATATAGCAAATATTAAGACAGGAGAGCATATAAATAAGCTTTAAAATATTTCCATATTTGAAATTTTAAAAGTCAGACTAATTATAAAGCCCTTCTCTTGAAGTAGTCCTGGTTTTTATTTATTTACTTTTCAGTTCTCATCAAAGTATTTGTGGCCTACCAGTTGAGTTGGGGCCTCTGGGTGGCTCATTTGGTTGAGCCTCCAAATCTTGGTTTCAGCTCAGGTCATGAACTCATGGATTGTGAGATTCAGCTCTGGGTAGGGCTTTTTACTCAGGGGGACGTCTGCTTGAAGATTCTTTCCCTCTTTCCTTCCCTCCTCTTATGTTCATGTGCTCTCTCTCTAAAATAAATCAGTCTTTAAACAAAAATAAAAGTTGAGCCTGTGTTTTCATTGTATAATCAAAGATTGACTCTTATCTTACTCTATTGAAACTGTTAATTGGAAGAAACCTAAATAATTATTGCATTAAAAAAATTGCCTAGTAGATTATTTTTAAGGTAAAATTTTTTGACAGGATTACTGCTATATTTATCTATTAAAGGGTGCTTTGAAAAGAAGAGAGAGCTATAATAACAGCTTCCAATTTTCGTGGGTTTATTATGTTCTAGGTATCAGTGATGCTTCTCGTACGGTATCATTGACTTAAGCCTTACAAACAACCCTGTGAGATTACAGACATTATTGTCTTCATTTTATGCAATGTCAGAGACTTGTTTTTTATACTTACCAACTCATTTACTCTTCACACCTGTATTTTCCTGTATTTTTTTTCCTGTATTTTTATTTATTTATTTTTTCAATACATCAGTGAATACCTTAGCTGAAGACTTCTTTTATTTATACCAAACAAATTTATACTTGGTGTATGATAAGGACTCAAAAATCATTTGTTGGATTGAATTATTTTACTGAAATGTCTTACTGGGTTTTGCATTTTACTCATAAACCAATATCCATATCCTGTTAAACTTTTTTTTTTTCTAAGATTTTATTTATTTATTCATGAGAGACATAGAGAGAGGCAGAGACACAGGCAGAGGGAAAAGCAGGCTCCACGCAGGGAGCCCGATGTGGGACTCGATCCTGGGATTCCAAGACCACACCCTGGGCCAAAGGCAGGCGCTAAACCGCTAAGCCACTCAGGCATCCCCCCTAAACTTTTTTAAAAAAAAATTATTATTTTTTTAAGATTTTATTATTTATTCATGAGAGAGACAGAAAGAGAGGCAGAGACACAGGCAGAGGGAGAAGCAGGTTCCATGCAGGGAGCCTGATGTGGGACTTGATCCCAGGTCTCCAGGATCACACCTTGGGCTGAAGGCAGCACTAAACCGCTAGGCCACCGGGGCTGCCCCATATCCTGTTAAACTTATCCCTTGCTAAATTGTAGAGTTTACTATGATATGTCAGCCATTTATTAGTTATGTCATTTTGGAAATGGGATCACCAGATTCTGTTTGCATTTCGGTATAAATGGTTAATATATACTAAAGATACTTTTATTTTGTAGATTCCTAGGCTTGTGGAAGGACTGAGTGGTCATACTTGTTCCCAAGTGGCAGCCGCTAAGGATCATACTGTTGTACTGACTGAAGATGGATGTGTTTATACATTTGGTCTGAATATTTTTCATCAATTAGGAATTATTCCTCCACCTTCCAGTTGTAATGTACCCAGACAGGTAAGCTTCCTTTTTTAAAACAAGGTGACAAAAAAAAAAAAAAAAAACAAAAAAAAAACAAGGTGACTATTTGCTATAAAACCTGTATGGACAAAAAGATGGAAGATACTGACACGTAACTTATTTTACTTATATTTAATGGTATATACTTTATTTTTCACAGGAGATACTAAGCAGAGTATAAATCAGCATTTGTTTGGAGTAAGAGAAGGCGTTTGGGAAATTAGGCCCAAAAGTTCTTTAGTTTAAACTTTTTTATTTATAAGCAGAGGGGGATCCACATTTTTGGGGTTTAAAACAAATAATTTTGAGGCCTTCCTTAAGAAAACATGAAATTTATGGGGGCTCCTGTGTGGTTAGTGGTTGAGTGTCTGCCTTGAGCTCAGGGCATGATGATCCTGGGTCCTGAGATCAAGTATCGCATCGGGCACCCTGCATGGAGCCTGCTTCTCCCTCTGCTTCTGTCTCTGCCTCTCTCTCTCTGTGTCTCATGAATAAGTAATTGAAGTCTTTAAAAAAGAATAATAAACGCAAAATGTGCCGTATAAGTGAGTTATCCAGAAGTCCAAGCTTATTGGGCTAGGACTGGTGCTTTAAATTAATATGTTGCTAGAATCATCACTCAATAACAAATGTGTTTCCAATTTGTAAATTTTGTATTTCAGAGATTAAATTTCTTAACTGGTTTAATCCTCTGGATTTAAAATTATTATTAGATACACAGTTTTTATTAATAAGCTTTTAAATCTAATGCTTTTCCATTCTGGATGACTAATGAATTGATAGGAATTACTGAGAAATAGTTAGAGGTAGCCTCCAATCTGTGGTACTTTTTGGTTGGAGGATCCATTTTCTATAATCATGAAATTTGTGGATATTAATCATTTTGTAGATTTCTTTATAAATGCTAGATTTTATTCTTGTTTTTATTCTTAGTGTTATGTGGCTATCTTGGAATTTTAGGTTGACATGGACATATCTAGTATTCTCAATTTTGCATCCCTAGGAGCCATTTGGCAATGTGCAGAGACATTTTTAGTTGTCACAGCTGGGGGTGGGGTTGGGAGTAGTGCTACTGACATCTAGTAGGTAGAGTTCAGGGTTGCTGCTAAACCTGTAGTTTATAAGGTAGTCCCCCACAGCAAAGGTTCATCTGACTGAAAAATGTCAGTAGTGCCACTGTTGGGGGACTCTGAATATGTCCAATAGTTTTTCTTTAATTTATTTTCATTTTCTTCTATTTTTTTTTCAACATAGGAAGTGCACTCTTTATTCTCCATCACCTGTGTCACTCATTCCCCCAGGCACCTCCCCTCTGTTGACCATCAGTTTGTTGTCTATAGATAAGAGTTGTCATCTTGATTTGTCTTTCTCTCTCTCTCCTTTTTCTTTGCTCATTTTTTTTTCCTTAAATTCCATGTGAGTGAGATCATGGTATTTGTCTTTCCCTCACTAACTTTCTTTTGCTCAGCATTGTACTCTATCCCTGTTGTTACAAATGGCAAAATTTCATTCTTTTTTTATGGCTGAATAGTATTCCATTGTGTATATACACACCACATCTTTATGTATTCATTTATTGAGGGATACTTGGCTGTTTCCATAGTTTGGCTATTGAAAATAATGGTGTAGTAAACATAGGGGTGCATGTATCCCTTTAAATTAGTGGGGTTTTTTTTGTTTTTGTTTTTTTTAAATTAGTGTTTCTGTATTCTCTGGTTAAATACCCAGTAGTATGATTCCTGGATCATAGGGTAGTTTTATTTTTAATTTTTTGAGGAACCTTCATATTGTTTTACATAATGGCTGCAATAGTTTGCATTCCCACCAACGTGCAAGAGGGTTCCCTTTTTTCCACATCCTTGCCAGCGCTTGTTACTTGTGTTTTTTATTTTAGCCATTCTGACAGGTGTGAGGTGATACCTCATTGTATTTTTGATTTGTATTTCCTTGATGATGAGCATCGTTTTATTGTCTTTCGGCCATCTATGTATGTCTTCTTTGGAGAAATGTCTATTCGTGTCTTCTGCCCATTTTTTATTTTTTTATTTTATTTTTTTCTGCCCATTTTTTAATTGGATTATTTGTTTTTTGAGTATTGAGTTGTAGGAGTTCTTTACATATTTTGGATACTAAACCTTTATTGAATATGTCATTTGCAAATATCTTCTTTCATTCCATAGGTTGCTTTTTAGTTTTGTTGATTGTTTCCTTTGTTGTGTAGAAACTTTTTATTTTGATGTGGTCTCAGTAGTTTCTTTTTTTTTAAATTTTTTATTTATTTATGATAGTCACACACACAGAGAGAGAGAGAGGCAGAGACACAGGCAGAGGGAGAAGCAGGCTCCATGCACCGGGAGCCCGACGCGGGATTCGATCCCGGGTCTCCAGGATCGCGCCCTGGGCCAAAGGCAGGCGCTAAACCGCTGTGCCACCCAGGGATCCCCAGTAGTTTATTTCTGCTTTTGTTTCCCTTACCTCAGGAGACATATCTAGAAAAAAGTTGCTACAGCCAGTGTCAGAGACCTTATTGCCTGTGTTCTCTTCAAGGATCTTTGTGGTTTCAGGTCTCACATTTAGGTCTTTAATACATTTTGAGTTTATTTTTGTGTATGGTGAGAGAAAGTGGTCCAGTTTCATTCTTTGCGTGTTTCTCTCCAGCTTTCTCAATAAGATTTGTACGAAAAAGACAAAATGATTGTCTTTTTCCCCATTGTAAACATTCATTCTTCCTTTGTTGAGGATTAATTGGCCACATAATTGTGGGTTTATTTCTGAATTTTCTGTTCTTTTCCATCGATGTATGTGTCTCTTTTTATGCTAATACCATACTGTTATAGTTACTGTTGTTTTGTAATATAACTTGAAATCTGGAATTGTGATACCTCCAGTTTTGGTTTTCTTTTTTGAGATTGCTTTGGCTATTCCTGGGATGCAAGTGTGATTCAGTATTCATACAAGAATCATTGTGATACATCACATTAGTAAGAGTCATCTGGCTGTAAAATCAATAGTGCCACTGTTGAATATGTCACATTTAAAAGTGTTGAATTTTCTGATAGAATGAGAATCCTTGTTTTGCATGTTGCTTGTTGAAAAGTTGAATGATTTGGTTTTTATACTGTTAATTTTTTATATATTAAAACTGCTGACTTAAAGTTGCTGCATCAAAATATCTTGTGTTCTGAGAAGGGTTGGAGTCTCAGTGTTAGTGCTGAGATCTTCAGTGAATTCTGGCATTAGAACTTGAGGGGGCACTGGTAGTGGGTAATATAATAAACTGCTGTCTTATCTTTTTGAATAGATGCAGGCAAAATATCTGAAAGGAAGGACAGTCATTGGAGTAGCGGCAGGCAGGTTTCATACAGTGCTGTGGACTAGAGAAGCTGTTTACACTATGGGACTAAATGGTGGACAACTGGGTGAGAAATCTTGATGACAATATCTGAAAAGTAAATTGAATTTTTAAAACAATAAAAAATTTAAAAATTTTTTAAAAATAAAATTTTTTTATTTGTCTGATTTTTTAGGTTATATGCCAGATCCCAATGGAGAAAAGTATGTAACTGCTCCTCGTCAAGTCTCTGCCCTTCATCATAAGGATATCACTTTGTCTTTAGTTGCTGCAAGTGATGGGGCCACAGTCTGTGTTACCACAAGGGGAGATATTTACTTACTTGCAGACTATCAGTGCAAGAAGATGGCTTCTAAGTATGTTATGTGTATTTTTGTAAAGAAATATAATTTTAATAATAATAATTCAATTCTTCCAGCAAGACTTTGAGTATAAGCTTTATGTGCTATGTTCTAGAGTGTCAGATGAAGAAAACTGAATGGAGAAGATTTAAAACTGAAAGGGAAAATCAAGAGTTTTTGCCTTTGAGCTTAGTCTTTGAGAAGCATCCAGGGGACATATGTAGAAGTTCTCTGTAAATTGTTAAACAGTATTTCAGAACTATATTTAACATATGGTTAAATGTGACCTATAAATTTCCTTTTTTTTTATGCTTCAGGTACATAGTACTAGATTAATTATAATTCTTGGTTTGTGATACAGTCATCATTGGTTCATGTGTGGCTTTCTTATGTTATGCATTTATTTATTTTTAAAAATAGCTAATTATTTATCATGGATTCTTAGTCCATGTGTTTATAATTAAGTGGTATATTTTTTATCTTTATATTTGTGTAGCCTTTTGTTACCTGAGAGTAGGATATAGTATGATATATCCTATAGTAGGATATAGTAGCATGCAGTAAAAACTAGCAGTTTGTTAGCTCATCAAAAAAGCCAGGTAAAGCAGGGACTCATAAAACTAAGGTGTAAGCATGGAAGTGTCCGCCAATTGGAGTTCCTTAGCTTTTGAGCATAAACCTACCCATAATGTATCATCTGTGATTTCATTTTGAACACTTTAAGGAGGAAGCTCTTAAAACAATTGTAAGGTAAATTAATACGGTTAGAGTCCTTTTCATATATTTCAATCTTTTATAGTTGATTAATCCATTTCTGATTTGACAGCAGTATTTTGCTATGCATTTTAATGTGTCATTACAAAGTATTCAACTTTTTTTTTTTTTTAAGATTTTATTTATTTATTCATGAGAGACCCAGAGAGACAGGCAGAGAGAGAAGCAGGGTCCATGCAGTGAGCCCAATGTGGGACTCGATCCTGGGACTCCAGGATCACGCCCTGAGCCGAAGGCAGAAGCTCAACCTCTGAGCCACCCAGGCGTCCCCAAAATTAAATTAGTGATGATTTTCCTGGTAGCTGTTAGCTATTTAGGGTTGTTCATATTTGAAATTAAAGATTTGTTTCATTTTTCATTTTGAGGTTTTAAGTTTTTCTGGTCTGTTAGGAGCTTTTAGTCTTATCAGTTAATTAAAGTAGAGTGAATGTGTGCATTCACAAGTGGGACTTTAGATTTCAGAGGTGTGTATGTGTGTAGGTACAGGCATTTGGGAGGGAAGGACTTGCTATGAAAAGAAACTTCCATAATGTAGGGGAAACTTACAGAGAAAGGAGGGACTAAGGATACCAAAGGCCAAATTGTCTTACTTCACATTTCACAATAATCATAATAATAATAATAATAGTAGGTTATTGTTTGAATAGTAATTTCTTAAAAATTGAGCCATGTATATTTTAGAGAACATATTTTTTTTAATTTTTTTTTTTTTTAGAGAACATATTAATGGAGAATTTTCTTTTTCACCTAGACAACTAAACTTGAAAAAAGTTCTTGTTTCTGGGGGACGTATGGAATACAAGGTTGATCCTGAAAATTTAAAGGAAAATGGGGGTCAAAAAATTTGCATTCTTGCAATGGATGGAGCTGGAAGGGTAAGTGTATATTTATGCAAAAGTGTAGTAAAGAAATTTTGTTCTCAATTGATAGCTGTAAGGGACCTGATAATGTGAACATGTATTATTATGATAATGATGATTCCCATTGACTTTTTTCTCTACTTACTTTTGACATCAGTAGTAATTAGTATGGAGCTGATATTTCAAAGAAAGTTTGATGACAACTAATGTTGCACAGTACAGCTTTGTTAAACTGTAGCTTAAAATTTCATTTACTGTGCTTAAAATGGAAATAAGGATTTTGATGGATTATTTGATATGTATACTGAGTATGGATGAAGATATCGAATTGCATAGATATATTTTATATAACAGCTCCTTAAAAAAAGTAAAAGCTGAACAGGCAAAATTAAAAATTTTGTAATTAGAAAATTTCCCCCAGATTTAGTTTTAAGGAAATGTACACATAATGTATATTTTCAGAGATCATAACTGTCATATATAAAAGATAATGCATTCCTAGATCATTATAGGAAGAATCTCTAATCTCTTTACATTTAAGTAGACTTCAATTTCAGTGCCCTGTGCAAATATATCAGTACATTTCTCTAAGGAAATTGTTAAATTAAGCATATATTCATACATGTTAGTAACACAAAGAATTTTACACTGGCTAGAAAAACACAGATTGCGTTCTGCTTTTTGTTTATAAAATAGAAACATATAATGAGAATGTTTTCTGAATCTTAAAAAGTGCTATAAAATTTGACATTTGGAAATTGAAGAATTAATCATAAAGCTCCACCTACTGGTACTTAACAGGTATAAGTTTGTAGTTGATAATTTTAATATAGAGGACTATATTAGAACTCTAATTTTATACTATGGGAGGAAGCAGTGGCATGGGATTACATAAAATAGTATAAAAAGCATTTGACTCTAGGATATATTTCATTTATATTAATATGGATCTAGTTTATACTTTTGTATCTTTAATTTCTGCAAAATAGAATCTTACTATGAAAACCAGTCTCTGAAGAACTCAAATCAGTATAGTCTTTTTTTTTTTTACATAAATTTTAAAATTTTGGCAGATACCATTTTGTGTTTTAGTTTTCTTAAATATGAGGGGATCAAACTTTTAAAAATCAGCAGCATTAATTTTTCAAATGTAATTTTTCTTGGAATGCAAATATATGAAGCAGATAAGAGTTACTGTTCTGGATGAAGCTGGATTGGGAAACTCAATACCATACCTCTCCTTATTCTCTCCATCCCTAACTAGTAGGTTCCAAGCCATTTCTCAGAAACATTAAAGCTTGCAGAACCGCTTGGAAGTCATTGAACTCTACTATGATTTTTCTACCTGTAAGATTTAGTTCTATAATTGGGTTATTCATGTCCTTTTTTTCTTGGGAGCTAAAGTTTGGATTTTCATAGGGTGATTTTCATTCTTCTTGCAAATAGATGGTACTACAAGTCCAATATCTAAGTTTTAGTTTTCATATTTTTGCTTTTCTTTACCATTGTAGCAGATCAATTTGCCAAAAACGAGTAATACTGAAAATTACATCTTCTTAAGGGGAGTGTCTTTGAAGTATTTTTAGTGCTTCATATTTGCTTGATGTACTTTTTCTGAAAGACACAATGAATTGATTTTTATAGTTTCTTTTTCTGTGAAAGAGTGAACATGGAAACATATTAATCAGAGATATAATCCTTTGATACCAGTTTTTGGTTGTTCAGGTGCTATATGGGAATATATTTTTATTCCACTGTAATTTGGATTTATTTTAGGTATTTTGCTGGAGATCAGTCAGCAGTTCTCTAAAGCAGTGTCGATGGGCCTATCCACGCCAGGTCTTCATTTCTGATATTGCTTTAAATAGAAAAGACATTTTATTTGTCACACAAGATGGAGAAGGATTTAGAGGGAAATGGTTTGAAGAAAAAAAAAAGAATTCTGAAAAGAAAGGTCAGTTCATATATGTGAATAGAGCATAAAGTATCTTTCAATTAACCTTTAATTTCACAAGTGTTTATTATTAGGTTTGACAAGGGTTATTAGGTTTTACCCTTAAGTATTGTCTTTTGATTTTGGTTTATGTGTATGAAGGTAAATAGTTAATTCACTTAACTCTGGTTTTCAACCTTTTATCTGTCTCAGTATATCCTGAGGTCATGGTGCATTCCTATCACTAATAGTAGATCACTGCTTGGCTCTAGGGACAGGAAAGTGTAAAGTTTAAAGAAATCCCCAGATGCTTTTGAACCATCTTCCAAGCTCCATTTTTTTATCTTCTTCCCTAAATTGAGAATTGACTGGCTTATAGTGTATATATATACACACACACACACACACACACATATATATATTTACATTTTATGTATTGTCTTTTTATATACGTGTATATGTAAAATTAAAATTTTTTTTAAAGTTTTTATTTTTTATTTTTATTTTTTTAAAATTTTTATTTATTTATGATAGTCACACAGAGAGAGAGAGAGGCAGAGACATAGGCAGAGGGAGAAGCAGGCTCCATGCACCGGGAGCCTGACGTGGGATTCAATCCCGGGTTTCCAGGATCACGCCCTGGGCCAAAGGCAGGCGCCAAACTGCTGCGCCACCCAGGGATCCCAAAATTAAAATTTTTTAAACACACATTTCATGGCTTAAGGGAAAATCATGGGAAGAATAAATTTTTATATTGAGAATTTAAAATAATAGTTGTATTAAATAGTTGTTGGGTAGAGATAAATTTTATTTCATTCCTTGATGAAAAGAAAGGATAGCTTTAAGATGCTACCATTGAAAATAGAAATTATTCATTATATAGTTCATTCTTAATTTTATTTGATTATAAATTTATGATTACTTGCATCGTTTTTTAACTTAAGTTGCCAAATTTTTCTTTCATCCATAATTATTTGTTGATTTTTTTTCTGGAAAAACTAAAATTCATTTACCTCTTCACAGTTAATGGGTCCCACTGTAGCCCAAATCATATGGACTACTGCAAAAAATACATTTTCCTAAAAAAAAAAAAATGTTTTCCTTATTCGTACTCTTATTTCTTTTTATCTGTTCTTAACTTTTAGAGTGATCTTATTTTAATATTTGATCTGTTTTTAATATTCCTGTATTTAAAAACTCTTTAATGTTTCCTCACTTCCTAAACATTGTCCCAAAAGCTCCTTCTCTGACCTTTGTCTATGTACCTGAACTGCTTTCATTTATCATTCTTCAGTCACATCCATCTTCAGGTTTTCAATTTTGTTCAGTAGTCCCAGGACTTTCTCTAATTTTTCACATCTCAGATTCATTTATACTTCATCAGAAATGTTTTCACAGATCCCTCAATCTAAATTGAAGTACCCTGTTTCACTTTTCATATTCCCTTTGGATTTTCATGATGCAACTTGTCTCTACTTGTTTTTTATGTATTTATCTTTTTTTTTTTTTAAGTTTTTATCTATTTATGAGAGAGACAGAGACAGAGATGCAAGCAGAGGGAAAGCAGGCCCCATGCAGGAAGCCTGATGTCTGGAATCATGCCCTGAGCCAAAAGCAGATGCTCAACCACTGAGCCACCCAGGCATCCCTGTATTTATCTTTGTGATTAGTTTTTTTAATGCTTGTCTCCTATCAGGCTGTAAGATGGCAAGGACCTTGACTATTGCACTGTGTCCTTGGCATTCAGCATATTTCCTGATACATAGTAGTCCCTCATTAAGATCTGTTGAATGAATATGCTAAGACACATATAAGGAATGTTTATAATTAATTCAGAAAATTATAAACATAGTTTTCAAAATCAAAGCCACAGTGGAGTGATTAGAGATTTGTTGTATTTCTTTTATTTCTTTATAGATTATGCAAGTCTGTAAACATTTAAATTAGATTTACTGTGTGTCACATATAGAGCTATGCTTTATTGATAACATATATGTTGATAACAGGGCCCCTGTTCTCAGACACTCAAAAGTTTGCAGGGACAATAGATACATATTAATATTTACAGTTTACAAATGCTAATATGCATATGTTAGGTTTTTTTGAGAGTAGAAATTGCAATAACTGAGTGTGGGGAAAATTAGCAAAGCCCTGTAAGACTGAAATAGAGTGAATTTGAGAGAGTAACCAAAATGCAGGTTTGACTGCATATAAATGTTGGAAGTCTTAGAATTGTATCTTAGTCACATACAGTGATCTGAATTCATGATCTCATGCTTCCGCATTTGCTTTTTAATGTTTTATATCTAAGTAAATGGTTGTCTTTGACACCTCACATCCTGCCACCCCTATATCTGATCAGTCACTAAATTTTGTCACTTTTGTCTCAAATATTTCTGAAATCTTTCCACTTTTCTCCACTTTTATTGCTACAACTTCAATGTATATTATTTATTCTTTGGATTCTTATTAGTTTCCTAAATGATCTCTTTGTCTTTATTTTTAATTACTTTCAGTATTCTTCCTACTGAAGAATGATTTCTTTGCATGCAGATTTCATACTTTTCTTTCATAGCCTTAATTTGACTCGTAATGGATATAATCATTTGTTTTAATGTCTGTCTTCTCTGCTAGATTGTGCACTCCAGGATGGCAGGGACATGCCTATCTTGTTCACTACTGTATCATTAGGGACAGATTGATGATCACTGTATCACAGTAGCACAGTATGGTCACTCAGATATTTGGGACCAAATAACAAACTATAGGGATGCTAAGTTTATATATTTTTAATGCAAGCTGAGGAGTTTTAGAAGGTGGTGTAACACTAGATTTGCTTCTTAGAAAGTTAACTTTGGTGCAGTGTGGAGGATGTTTTTGTTGAAAGGGATAAAATCATGGGTAATTGAGAATTGACCAAACAAAATTTCCTTTATAGTACTTATACTATACATAGGGTGCAAATTGTGTTGGGGGACGGGGGAATATAATTCTTCAAAAGGACTTACATATGAAAGATACTTTCATATTTTATTTTTCTATTTTCTTTACTCCTAAAGCATTTTAATTGTTTAAATAAAGCCTCCATTAATGGAAGTTTGTTTATTTTTCTTTTTAGCAGAGATTTTATCAAATCTTCATAATTCCTCATCAGATGTGTCTTGTGTCTCTGATATAAATAGTGTATACGAAAGAATTCGACTTGAGAAACTTACTTTTGCCCATAGAGCTGTTAGTGTCAGCACAGATCCAAGTGGATGCAACTTTGCAATCCTGCAGTCAGATCCTAAAACAAGGTACACTTGTATATATTAAATTTCATTTTTAGAAGGAATAATCACTGAGTTTTCCTTTTTTTTCAGTAGCTCCTGGAGCAAATTTAATTGAAATGCTTTTGCCAAGACTTGTAGAAGCTTGAGGCATAAAATCATGTTATCTGGAAAACTCAGAGGTGGAATTTGTTATAGTGGGAATGATAAGTATTTCTTTTAGTTTGTAAACTGGTATTTATTGAAAATCTTGAAAATATATATGTGCATGCACAAAATTTATAACAGTACTTTATGATGTACTCTGGGTTCTCAAATTCTGAGAAATATATTATAAATATTACACAGTTTGCAAAAATCTCTAATACTTGAATATGATAATTAACAAAAGAAGAAGTGGTATAGAGTCATCTGTAGGGTAGTGTGAATCTCAGTGCAAGTATTCTCTAAGTCACATTAGTAGAGAGATGACGGGTTAAGATAAATGTCCAGGGTACTGTTGGAAAGAAGTCCTGGAAGTAGGGTGACCTTCCATTCTGGTTTGCCTAGGCCTGCCTGTCCCATATTTAGCACCAAAACTCTCATTTCCTGGGAAAACACTCAATCCAGGGCAAACCAGGAGGATTGTTTCCCCCCCTACCTGAAAGGGTGAAATGTGGATAGGGAAGATGTGATAACATTTTTACAGTGCTAAAGAACCAGAGTTATGGACTGATTGTATATCTGTGTATATATTTTTCCTCCCTGAATTTATGGCCTATTCTGGGATTTGACCTGAAGTATTTGCTCAGTTCTTTGTATATTTGGTTTTCTTCACTTAAAAGGATAAAGGATAAAAGAAAAGGATATCAAAGAAAAGGTTGAGAACTGTACTCTTTTCTGGATATTTTTAGTTTTATAGTCATTTGTGTTTAGTTATAGTCATTTAAAAAATTTCTATGGAAATACTCATTTATATTCTAGCATTTCCTAGTAGAAATAGAAAACTCTGCTTTTGAAGGAAAACTTAAATCTTGTCATTTTAATTTAGTAAAAAAAAATATAAAAAGGATTCACATTTTAAAATGTGATACAGTATCTAAGACTTTGCAGTATTCTTATATTTTCAGAAATGCCAGATTTAAATTTTTAGAAGTTTAATAGCTAAAAAATAAATTGTACTTTAAAAGGAGAATTGGCTAGGGATGGGATGCTTTTTTTTTTTTTTCATTTTCTTGAAAGTAAAAATTATTTTTGTTTCATTTCTAGCCTTTATGAAATTCCAGCCGTATCCTCATCATCCTTTTTTGAAGAGTTTGGCAAACTCTTAAGGGAAACAGATGAAACGGACAATATTCATGATGTGACATTTCAAGTTGGCAATAGAATTTTCCCTGCACATAAATATATTTTGGCAGTGCGTTCTGACTTTTTTCAGAAATTGTTTCTTTCAGATGGGACTACTTTAGATTTTATAGATGTTTACCGGAAAGATGAAGATTCTGCAGGATGCCATCTCTTTGTCATAGAGAAGGTTCATCCTGACTTGTTTGAGTACCTTTTACAATTTATATACACAGATACTTGTGACTTTTTAATTCATGGCTTCACACCAAGAATAAACTTAAACAAAAAGCCAGAAGAATATCAGGGCACTATGAATTCACATTCAAATAAAATGCATTGCCGTGAAGATAATCAAAAGTCAGCATTTGAAGTTTACAGAAGTAATCAAGCACACACAGTTAATGAAAAGCAAAAAAGCAAATCAAAGGCTTCCAATAAAGGGAAAAGTATTGGGGAAGATGATCCTGTAAGAATGTTGCAAAATGTTGCAAAGAAATTTGGTTTCAGTAATTTGAGTAGTAGGTATGGCTTCTTCTTAATATCTGTCCTTGAACCTTATTATGAGCTCCTTTTAAAAATTCTTTTTCTGGGATCCTTGGGTGGCGCAGCGGTTTGGCGCCTGCCTTTGGCCCAGGGCGCGATCCTGGAGACCCGGGATCGAATCCCACGTCGGGCTCCCGGTGCATGGAGCCTGCTTCTCCCTCTGCCTGTGTCTCTGCCTCTCTCTCTCTCTCTCTCTCTCTGTGACTATCATAAATAAAATAAAAATATTTAAAAAAAAAAAAATAAAAATTCTTTTTCTTTGCTACTCGTCTTTTCCCGTCCCTCAGTTCTACCCCCATGTACCTTTTTGTATATGTTCTTTCTTCATTTTCTGCTAAAGCTATCTCTGTAGGACCCCCTGGATTAAAACTTTGGAGGCTGTTAGTGGGTGTGAACTCTATGTTGTTTGTGTAACAGGGATCTGGAATGGTAGGCAGTGTGGTATGCTGGAAAAAATACTATCTTTGGAGTTAGGCCTGTATTTATTTGCCTTTTGGCTCTACTAGTGACTAGCTGAGGCAGATTTGTTAGTTTCTTTGAACTTCAGTTTCTCAGTATTTAGAAGGGAGGGATAATAGTGGTTCAATTTGTTGGTATAGTTCTGTCCTACAGTATGTGTAAACTGCCTAGGAGAGATTTGTCATATAAACCATATTCTTTGGAATTCTTTTTTTTTTTTTTTTTAAGATATGTATGTTGCTTGTGATAGTGTAATCTTGTGTGGGGTAGGGGCAGAGAAGGAGCATTTATCAGGTTTCCTATTTAAAAACACTGAAGGGTTTTGTGCTATGGTTTTGGTATTTTTTTGTCAGTAACCATATTTAATATGCATTTGACCCTTGAAAAACATGGGTTTGAACTGTGCAGATCCACTTGTATTCAGGTTTTTTATGATAAATTCAGTATGGTACCATTAAACCATATTGATCATCTTCCTTAGGATTGTCTTAACAATTTCTTTTCTCTAGCTTTCTCTATTGTAAGAATACAATATATAATGCAAATAATATACAAACTACAAACATACAAGTCTACTGTTGAAGTTATTGGGAAGGCTTCCAGTCAACATTGAGATACTAGTAGTTAAGTTTTGGGGTAGTCAAAATTATATGCAGATTTCAACTTAGGTGGGGGGCATGGTGACTCTAGTTTCTGCATTGTTCAAGGATTAACTGTACTTTGAATTCTAAGTAAAACTGAAGGAGAATAAACAATACTTCTTTATCACAGAGTTGAGTTTATTGAGATACTTTTTTAGGTGATATAAATTATATAATTATATCCAGATGTAAATTGTTGGATTTTTGCTGTTGTTTTGGTCCAACTTAATTTTTATCTATTTTTGATAGGTTAGATGGAGTCAGATTTGAAAATGGAAAAATTAATGTTATTGAGAAGAAAACTGGTAATAAATCAAAGCTAAATCAGAAAAAATGGTAAGTTAGGAAATGAAGATAAACTTTCATCTGTAGATTTTGATACCTAACTGTGAAACAGCTCTTGTTACTGACCATACAAAGCAAAATATTTGAGTAGGTACCCTCACCTTTACTAGTCTTCATTTCTAGAAGTGTTGGAGAGCTGTTGAGATAAATGGATAAAATGTTAACTATTCAATAAGACATTGAAACAGTTCATTTTTAAATTGGTTTTTAAGGAAGAAATTTTTAAATTTTTTTCCTTGCCCAAATTTTATATTTTTCAATATGTAGGAATTGTTAGCCCAAAACCAAAGTAATTGTCCCTCTTCATTATGATGATTATTTTCTTTAGTGTAAGTTTTTAAAGTAATAAATATACTATTCTCAATATGTTAGTTATTAAAAAGTTTTTGTTTTTAGGTATTTGTACTTTGTAGGGGAAAAGTTTTGGAGAAAGAGAAACTAGAGATATCTAGACTATTTCAGCAAAGAATATGTTGTAAAAAGAAGTGAATTAAAGACCTTTGACTATGATGTCACTTACTATTACATTATTAACACCTGGTCTGTAATGCAAAAGGAAAATTAGAAGACTTTTTGAATACTTATCTGTATTCGGTTCCATTTACTATCTTTATTATAAGGCCCTTATTATCTTTACTCAAGTGGAAGGAGATAAAGAACTTTATTTGTATGTGTACCCTCAAGTTTGTTCTCTGCTGTCTTTAAAGAGAAAATCAACTGAAGCCAAATCCTTTAATAAATTTTCTGTTGGCTAAATATGTAAAGAAATCACTCACTTAAATTAAAAAAATTGTTTTTTCAGTTCCTTTCTATGTGATGTGACCATGAAATCAGTGGATGGAAAGGAATTTCCTTGTCATAAGTGTGTTCTATGTGCTAGACTTGGTAGGTATACTTTTTATTAGTTGCTGATTTGTTTTATTATTGTTTCACTGTCTAATGAATTATACTTTTTCTTTTCCCAGAATATTTTCATAGTATGCTGAGTAGCTCATGGATTGAGGTAAGATTTAAATTCAAACCACGTGGCTGGTAATCACACTTCTTTTTATTTTTGGGAAATTATGTACAAAGAAATTCAGAATGGGAACCTGATATCTTAACTCCGTTTTAATTTGTTCTAAACTTTATGCTGAAGCCTGCTGGAAAACAGCAATATTTAGAATTAAAAATTGTTACAGAAAAACTTCTTACAGTCAGAATATCACCTTTTATTATTTGGCCATGTGTTTGGAATACCAGTGTGATTGGTTTTTGTTTCAATTTTGTTTCATATTCTCCATGTTACAAGGCATTTTAAAATTAAATGTATGTCATTGTAGATTTGTGTTTTATAAATGTTACTTTCTTTTGCATTTGACATGATTCCCAATTCAAAGTTTTCTGTACCAGTCAGAATATGGTAGTTTTTCATAATTTAAAATTAATTATTTTACTTTATTTTATTTAGGCTTCTACTTGTACGGCTCTGGAAATGCCAATACATTCTGACATACTGGAAGTTATTTTGGACTACCTCTATACTGATGAAGCTGTGGTGATAAAAGGTATTAATAAGAGGATGTTTTAGATACTTTAAGATAAAATTGAATATGGCAAAGTCAACATGAATCTTAATTTCTACTCTAATTGAAGTAAACCGTCAACAGAGGCTTAATTTAGAATGAGCAATAGGGATGATTACTAATAGTAAAGGAATAGAAAAATTTTATTAACCTATGTGAAAATGAACTCTATAAGGATTATGTATAATGGTTGAGATTAAAGTTTCATGCCAGCTACTTCTGTGATTGAGATGAGAAACTGTCAATAGGGAATAGTTTTGACAAATATTTGACAAAAGTTTTTTAGTGTTTGTTTTTCCCCTGGTGATAATATCTCTGAAGTAAAAGAAATAGAATTGAATCAAAATTTAAGGAGAGATTGCATTTATATACTTTTTAAAGCACTACACCAATGTTTTAGTTACAGTGTCTTCAGTCATAGGCATGGTGAACTACTGTGTTCAATTGTATGTATATACCACATTTTGTTTTAATCCTTTCATCTGTCAGTGGACATTTAGACTGTTGTATATCCTCACTGTTGTTAATTTTGCTTCAGTGAACATGAAAGGGCAGATCTGTCTTCAAGATCCTGATTTCAATTCCTTTGGCTAAATATCCAGGAGTGGGATTGCTATATCATATGGTAGTTCTATTTTAATTTTTGGAGGAACCTCCTTATTGTTTTCCATAGTGGCTGTATCATTTTATAGTCCTACCAAGAGTGCACACAAGTGTTCCCTTGTCTCCACATCCTTGCCAACACTTGTTATTTTTTGTTTTATTGATAATAGCCATCTTAACAGGTGTTAAGGTAACATCTCATTATAATACTGATTTGCATTTTCCTGATAATTAGTGACATTGAGCACCTTTTCATATATCTGTTGGCTATCCCTGTGTCTTTTTTGGAGAAACGTCCTTTGCCCATTTTTTAGTTACTTTTTTTTTTTTTTTTGCTGTTGAGTTATAAGAATTCCTTATATATTTTGGATATTAATCCCTTATGAAATGTGGTTTGCAAATATTTTCTCCCATTCTGAAGGTTACCTTTCATTTTGTTGATTTTTTTTTTCCCCTTTGCTTTGTAGAAACTTTGTAGTTTCATGTAATTCCATTTGCTTATTTCTGCTTTTGTTGCATGTCCTGCTTTTGTTTTGATGTTCTATTCAGTAAACCATTGTCAAGACTAGGATCTTTTACCATTTTCTTCTAGGAATTTTATAGTTTCAGGTCTTTTTTTTTTTACATCTTTAATCCATTTTGAGGTGGCTAGTGTATAGTGTGGGTCCAGTTTCATTCTCTTGCATGTGGATATTTAGTTTTCCTAGAACCCTTTATTGAAGAGACTATCCTTTCCACCATTTTGTATTCTTTATGCCCTTGTTGAAGATTAATTGACTGTAAAATGAGGGTTTGTTTCTGGGCTTTCTATTCTATTCCATTGGTATATATGTCTGCTTTTTATGGCAGTACATTAATTTTTGATTACTGTAGCTTTGTAACATATTTTGAAGTCATGAAGTATAATGCTTCTAGCCACCTTCTTTCTCAAGATTACTTTGGCTGATCAGGGTTTTTGTGGTTCCATATACATTTTAGGATTGCTTTTTTCTTTTTTCTTTTTTTTTTTTTTAAGAAAAGATTTTATTTTTTATTTATTCATGAGAGACACAGATTGAGAGAGAGAGGCAGAGACACAGGCAGAGGGAGAAGCAGGCTCCATGCAGGGAGCCTAATGTGGGACTTGATCCCAGGTCTCCAGGATCAGGCCCTGGGTAGAAGGCGATGCTAAATTGCTGAGCCACCTGGGTTGCCCAGGATTGCTTTTTCTATTCCTGTGTAAAATGCCATTGGAATTTTGATAGGATTTTGTTGAATCTGTAGATTGTTTTGGGTAGAATAGACATTTAATTACTTTTTTGGATAGTTCATTGTGCATAGAAAAGCAACTGATTTTTATATCCTGCAACTTCACTGAGTTTATTACTTCTAATAGATTTTTGATGGTATATTTAGGGTTTTCTAGATACAAGACCTTGTTATCTGCAGAGATAGTTTTACTTCTTCCTTTTCTATTGGATGATTATTTCATTTTTTTGCCTCATTACTCTTGCTAGGATTTCCAGTACTGTGTTGAGTAGGAGTGTCATGAGTGGGCATCCCTGTCTTGTTCCTGATCTTAGACAAATAGCTTTCAGATTTTTACTGTTGAGTATGGTGTTAGCTGTGGACTTGTCATAGATGGCCTAATTTATTATGTTGAGGCACAGTCCTTCTTTACCTAACTTGTTGAGTTTTAATCATGAATGGATGTTGAATTTTGTCTTATGCATATTCTGCATGTACCGAATTGATTATATGATTTTTGTTCTTTATTCTGTTAAGATAGTATCACATTCATTGATTTGCATGTATTGACCATCCTTGCATCCAGACATAAATTGTACTTGATCATGGTGTATGGTCTTTTTTAACATGCTATTGAATTTGATTTATTAGTACTTTATTAAGGATTTTTGCACATATGTTCATCAGTTATACTGTACTGTGATTTTCTTCTCTGGTGGTGTCCTTGACTCCTTTTGGTATCAGGATAATCCTGGCCTCATAAAATAAATTTAGAAGTGTTCCCTCTTCTTCAGTTTTTTTTTTTGGGGGGGACAATTTTGAGAAATATTGTTTTTAATTCTTCTTTAATTTTTTTTTTTAATTTTTATTTATTTATGATAGGCACACAGTGAGAGAGAGAGAGGCAGAGACACAGGCAGAGGGAGAAGCAGGCTCCATGCACCGGGAGCCCGACGTGGGATTCGATCCCGGGTCTCCAGGATCGCGCCCTGGGCCAAAGGCAGGCGCTAAACCGCTGCGCCACCCAGGGATCCCTAATTCTTCTTTAAATGTTTGGTAGAATTCATTCACGAAGCCATCTGGCCTAGGGCTTTTCTTTTTGGGGGAGATTTTTGATTACAGATTCAGTCTCAGTCTCCTTACTCTGTTTTTAGTCTATTTAGATTCTGTTTCCTCATGATTCAGTCTTCATAGATCATGTGTTTCTAGGAATTCATCTATTCTAGGTTATGCAATGTGTTCGCTTATAATTGTTGATATTAGTCTCTGATAATTTGCATTTCTGTTATATCACTTGTAATGTCTTCTCTTTCATTTAGAATTTTATTTTGGGGGATCCTTTTTCTTAGGCTACTTAAGGGCTTGTTAATTTTATCTTTTCAAATAATCAACCTTAGTTTCATTGACCTTGTTTTTCTGCTGCCTCTAGGTCATTTATTTCTGCTCAGCTTTTTTTTTTTTTCTTTTAAGATTTTATTTATTTGAGAGAGAAAGAGAGAATGAGATAGTATGAGTGGGGCAGGAGAGAGGCAAAGAGAGAGGCAGACTAACAGACTCCCTGCTGAGCACAGATTCCCAATCCCAGGGCCTCCCAGGACCCTGAGACAAAGTTAGATGTTTACCGACTGAGTCACCCAGGCACCCCTCTGCTCAGTCTTTATTATTTTCTTCCTTCTGCTGACTTGGGCTTTGTTTCTTCTTTTTGTAGTCCTTATTGTGTAAAAACCCTAAGGTGGTTTTTTCAAGATCTTTCTTTTTCATTAAGGCATTTATCAGTATTATTGTCCTTGTTAGAACTTCTTTTACTGCATCCTGTAAGTTTTGGTATGTTGTATCTCCCTCAAGATATTTTTTGCTTTCTCTTTGATTTTTGTCTTTGATTTTGTTAATTTTCACATATCTACACATTTCCCTTATACCCTCTTGTTATTCTAGTTTGATGCCACTGTAGTTGGAGAGGATAGTGGTATCATTTCAAATTTCTTAAATTGTTAAGGCTTGTTTTGTGACCCAATATATGATGCACTCTGAAGAATGTTTTATGTGTGCCAAGAAGGATGTGTGTTTTGCTTTTGTGAATGGAATGTTCTGTATACATCTGTTAGGTTCATTTGGTCTGTAGTGTTGGTCAGGTTTGATGTTTCCTGGTTGATTTTCTTTTTCCATGATCTATCCATATTTGAACATGAATATCTATATTCAAGTTCTTTTATTGCTGTACTGATGACTATTTCTGCCTTCTTGTTATGTCTTCACATGGCCGTGTGTGTGTGTGTGTGTGTGTGTGTGTGTGTGTTTAGGGAGTGGAAGAGGGAGGGAGGTAAATAGATACCTCTTTGATACCTCTTTCCTTAGAAGGACCCTAATCCTATTGGACCAGGGCCCTACCCTTAAACTTCATTTATCCTTAATTATTTCCTGTGAGGCCCCATCTCCAAATATAACCACACTGGAAATTAGGGCTTCAACATGTGAATTTTTAGGGGACACAAACATCCAGTTATAACAATATCTCTTTTCTAACTTAAAAACCTTTTTTGATCTGCTTCTTGTTTGCTCTCTTGTCATTGTCTCAGTCAGCTTCAATGTTAAACAATTGCTACTGATTCTTTTTAATAAATACCCTGAGAGAAGAGGCTGTTCAGACCAGTAAAGCTTTAAGTCAGGTCAACCTTCCAGTGGGGATTTCCAGGGAACTGTCAGACATGTCAAATAATGAGAATTCTTTGATAATGTTTCTTTTTTTTTTTTTTTTTTTTTTTTTTTTTTAAATAGGTTTTTTTTTTTTTTAACTTTTTTTTTTTTTTTTTTTTTTATTTTTTTATGATAGTCACAGAGAGAGAGAGGCAGAGACACAGGCAGAGGGAGAAGCAGGCTCCACGCACCGGGAGCCCGATGTGGGATTCGATCCCGGGTCTCCAGGATCGCGCCCTGGGCCAAAGGCAGGCGCCAAACCGCTGCGCCACCCAGGGATCCCGATAATGTTTCTTTATAACTCTTCTACCTCCTTTAATGGTGGTTCTTTTCCACTATGATTGCAGGGTTATTGGTTTTTAAGACTACTGTGGAGGAGGGGAAAGGAGGATTTAAATAGAAAAAACTACAGTGTCCCATCACTTACTGTTTTTACCAAGATTCAGCCATTTTTCTTGAGTCAACACTCCCCAGGTCATTGCAAGCCTTTGGCTAATTTCTAGAATTTTGAAAAAGTTGATTTTGACAATTTTCATAGTATCTTCATTGCTTTTATGGAGAAGAGGAGTTCTAGAAGTAGTCCTTAGTTTGCCATTCAGTGACTTCACCTCTTCCTCCTTTGTTAAAAATGATTTTTCTACATTTTTTCTTCTTAGTCTTTTTTTTTTTTTTTTCCCTTTCTATTGTGGCTTTGTTTTGTTTTTGTATTTATGTTGCTATTCTGGCAGTGGCTCAGGGTTATTGCTTCGGGCCATTAGTAATGCTCAGAAACAAGAAGTTTATTTTAAATTAAAGAGCATCCTATGGCTTAAGAAGACAATGTACTTTTAGGCTTTTTTATTTAAAACAAAAATGATCATCTAAGTATTATTCACCCCTTTCTCTCTATATTTTCTTAACATATAGGCTATATGTATTTAACATATACCTACATAATAAATTTGATGCTGAGATTTGAATTTCCCCTGTATTTATTAGATTGAGAAATACTTATCTAACAACATGGGAGATTTTAAATAGGCAGGCATTCTAGTAGCCTTCTAGGCTAAAAAGATCAATTAAAGTTGCCCATTTTATGTTCTGGTGTGAACCAGGGCATTTGGGTGTATTTCTCTTCAGCTTTCTACTTACAAGGTAGAAAATTCTCACATTATTGCTGTTTATCATATTTGCCATTGCAACATTTAGAAAATAGTCATAATCTTCTTTGTGTCTTAATTAATTGAAACTTTTTTCATAAGTATAATGTTTACAAAATAATAGTTCTGTTTATTTTCTTTTTTTAGAATCTCAAAATGTGGATTTTGTTTGTAGTGTTCTTGTGGTGGCTGATCAGCTTCTTATAACTCGATTGAAAGGGATTTGTGAAGTAGCATTAACTGAGAAACGTGAGTATTTTTGAATTTGACTATTAACTGTGTTTTCAGGTCGATAAAGGATTATTCATTGACTTTATGATGCCATTTGTGGTAAACTGCGCCATTATTTTTTTGAATCATGAAAAGTGTTAAAACATTTAAACTATTTTGTGTCATTGTAAGTAAGCACGTTCTTATTTCAGATGCATTAATATGTGAAAATAAGTACATCTATAATTGAATGTTAAGTTTTTTAAACTGTCATAAAACCTTGAATAATGAAGATGATAGGAACTTTATTTTGAAGTTTCAAAGATGAGCATTTGAAAGGAATGTTTTCCTTTTGCCCTGGTCTTAGCTCTAGGTCTGTGTTTAGCTACCTCTTTCTTACTAGTCACTGGAATTATTATATAATGGTCTCATTTATATATTTGATCAAAACACATCTCTTTTGTTTTAAACTCTTTCTTTCTCTGTTATTTCATTTAATAAATACTTCATTATATCAGTAAATTTCGTTGCTGTCTTTTTGAACATTTGAACATTAAACTTTTGAAACCCAAAGCTATTTTTTGTTGTTTTGTTCTTTACATCCAAATTTTTTCATTTGACAGAACTGCTGCCTCTTAATTATATTTATTGATCACATTTCCCCCACCTTTTTATTCTGTCACTCTGCTAGTTGAGATCACTTATCCATCCCTTCTGTATAGGGTCACAGTAATCTTTTAAATCCTTTTTCTTTCTACTTCTCTCTTTTTTAATCTTCCTGTTGGAAGTAATTATGTCTTCCTCTCTTTAGATATTTTTAATTGCTTACTCTAGGTTACAAAAGATTGTAATTTTTTCTTTATTCATTTTCATTGTCACACTGCCACATGAAGGGATTTCCTGTCAGAATTTTCTAATTTGTAATTGCTGATAGTTTGTCTTAGCTCTGGTATCTTATTTACTTACTTTTCTTGAGCTTTATGGAATATCTTCTCCTTGGTTATCAAAAAGAACAATAGTTCTAGTGTTTTAAGCTAGAAAATGGAAATGTTTGTTGCATTCTTTATTTTAGTATAACAGGAATCAAGTATATATATTGGAGATATTTTCAGTTGTTCAATTGACTTTCCTGGCACTGCTTGTATTCTTTTTTGGCCCATGCTGCACAACTGTCTTACCAGTGAATATCTTGATTTTCCTAGAACCTAGTAAGAGAAGGGTTCAACAGAGGGTGTGGCCTTTTAGTATTGGGCATTCCTTGTTCCTAGCTGAACAACTCTAGAGTTTTTATATGATCATTTTTATTTTTGCGAAAGGGGAGACTTTGGGTTCATGATTAGTTGAAATTTTAGGTTTGGTTAGGAGTGGAGCAGACTATTATGGATTGTAGTTATACCTTTTGACAGAGTTACAAGGAAGAAAAAAACGTGGAGTAAGCCAGGTGTAGAAAATAGGTGTGTTCTGTTCATTAGAACTCACAGTAAATAAAGAATGGAGGGGTTTGAGAAACCCAAGTTACATGCTAGGTAGATAGAATATTCTTAGATGGCCTCTAGCAAAATAGGACACTTCATATATAAAGTACTAAGATTGTAATCAAATCAAGAATCTTTGGTACAGTGTACCAGATTCTGCACTGGCATGAATAATGAATACATGGCATGAATATAGTGATATTTAAATGTAATTATTTTTCAAATATATAGTGTGTATATGTGTTTATGTAAATACACCCATACAAATTCTGATGGATTACTCAATGTAAATATATTTTATAGGCTGATTTCATCAGTGTATCTTAGTCTTTTTTTGTAAATTACCCTTAACATGACCCCTAGCTTTTTTTAATTTTACTTTTTATTTTAAAATATATTTTAAAAAAAATTTGAAAGTAATATCTGTGCCCAAAATGAGGCTCAGACTAGACTCCCCTCAAGATCAGGAGTTGCAGGCTCTACTGACTGAGCCAGCCATATTCCTAGATTCTCTTACTCTTAAGATCTTTTTAGTTTCATAGAAGAGAGAATAACTATTCTGTGCTATATAAATGAAAAGGAAAGTTGTTTATCTGTGAAAGTTAAAACTACTGTAAAAATGTTAGGTGGAAGATGGTCAGTTGTAATGTGTGTTTGCTTTTAGGTGACACTGTAACGTCATTTTTATTTTCTTTTGGTGTGCTTATTTCTCCTCATAACCAGTCATTTAAAATTGGTTTGGCACATTGGGATGGAAAACAGCATTCTATATTTGCTCTAGTATACATTATTTTTTAGCAAGAAACTGCTTCCTTGTTCCTAATGTTCAAACCTGACAACTTTAAAAAATAAGTATATTGTATTTGCTGTAGTAATATGGTTTTTATCTCATTTTGACTCTTTTTTTGTAGTTACCCTTAAGAATGCTACTATGGTACTGGAGTTTGCAGCAATGTATAATGCTGAACAATTGAAACTGTCTTGTTTGCAGTTTATAGGACTGAATATGGCCGCTTTACTTGAAGCAAGGTAGGTTGGGTGCATACATTATATGACCATTGTGAAAGCAATTATTTATATATAATAGCTGATATGTTACTAATTTAAAAAGGCATAATGATAAATTGCAGAATTGTAGAAAATAAAAATTTTGAGGATTCAGTCATTCCATCAATATTTAAGTGCCTCATATATGCCTGCTACTGCTAAGATACAACTGTCAACAAAACAGACAAAATCGTTGCACTCAATGGAGAGCTTACAGTCTTGTTGGAAATTCATGAAAAAAATATTATTACTAGTATATTTTTTATAGTGTACATATCTTGTCTGGGTTGATTTACAACTGTAAAGTTGTAAAAAAAGTAGCAATGTTACTTTGGCTTTTGGAAACTCTATGTAATACTAAATAGGATAACATTTAATTGACATGTAAGCATGTGAAAAATTTGTTACTAGTTTCCTTTTCTCCTTGTATTTTTCTCTCTGGATATTTCTTTTCTTTTTTTTTTTTTTTTTAAAGATTTTTATTTATTTATTCATGAGAGACAGAGAGAGAGAGAAAAAGAGGCAGAGACACAGGCAGAGGGAGAAACAGGCTCCATGCAGGGAGCCTGATGTGGGACTCAATCTCCGGTCTCCAGGATCAGGTCCTGGGCTGAAGGCGGCACTAAACCGCTGAGCCACCCGGGCTGCCCCTCTCTTTGGATATTTCTTATATTATATATTGCTTCCTTAGTCAATCTTAGGCCCAGCAGATGGCCTGAATATTTAGTTGGTTTATTTTGTTGCAAGCTTGATGAATATTCAAGTCTTTATGTTGGAATCAATGAATAATAAAATGATTCTTTTAAAAAGTGACACATTTTACATAAAACAATTGAGTAAATATATACACTCTTTTTATAAGCTAATATTTCATATTATGGATGTTTACTTGGATTAGAAAAATTTAATGCTAATAATTTAGAAGTTATTAGATTTTTTAGAATGAGAGGGATCTTGGAAATTTTATCCCATGTTTTCAACTGTCTTAGTGGAATTGTTTAAGGAAATAAGTTTACAGATTTATTTAACATAAGGTCAAATTTCTATTACTACAAAGTCATTGGTGAGAAAAATGACTGTTTTGGTGAACATAGAAGTTTTAGATGAGTCAATTTGCATTTTTTTCAGTTTGCATTTTTGAAGCTTTAGTATCATTTATTTCTGTATTTTTTTTTTTTTTAAATTGAGAGAGTGAGAAAGAGTATGAGTGGGGTGGGGAGCAGAGGGAGAAGCAGACTCCCCGCTTAGCAGGGAGCCTGATAATGGGCTCGATCCCTGGACTTCTGGATCATGACCTAAGGCATGACGCTTTTAACCCACTGAACCACCCAGGCCCCCCCGTATTTTTCTTAGTCATAATAATGATAGCAAATACTATGTGCCAGGGAGCATTCTAAAAGTATTATGTAGATCTCATTTGATTTTCATGAAAACCTTCTGAAGAAGTAGATTCTGTTTATATCCTCTTATTACTGATGAGAAAATGCAGGAACCCTTTTTTGGCAAAGAATCAAAATCTTGATCCATATAATTTATTAAAAACCTGGTAACAGGTTTTTGATATCTTACCTTTCAAAGACAGGATAATCTTTAATGAAACTAATGTTAAAATATGATTGAAATAAAAGGTTCTGATTTTTAGGTGAATCACTAACAGATTCTTAATAATTGTTACATATAGTTCAATTCAGAGGAAATTCTTTCTTTCTTTTTTTTTTTTTTTTTAATGTATGATAGTCACAGAGAGAGAGAGAGGCAGAGACACAGGCAGAGGAAGAAGCAGGCTCCATGCACCGGGAGCCTGATGTGGGATTCGATCCCGGGTCTCCAGGATCGCGCCCTGGGCCAAAGGCAGGCACCAAACCGCTGCGCCACCCAGGGATCCCCAGAGGAAATTCTTTTCATAGTATAATGCTTTGTTATTTTGTGGAAAATGCTTTTCAAATGCAAATTAATGTTATGGGATAACAGACAATGTGATTTTAAAATGCCAATAGTATTTTAGTATCAGAACCTGGTTAGGGTTTCATAATAAATTTCTTTGCTGATCTTACATTAATAATTGTAATCAAAGCAGTTTTTGCTTGCCACATTAAGCTCATTCAGTTTGTCAGATAAGAATCAACCAAAATGCAGAATAAGTACCAAATCTATCTATAAATATCGTATTGGAAAATGATGCGTCTCACTGCCATTGTTCAATTGTTATGTTGTGACAGGTTTGTCAGGTGAACCATTAAAAAAGACATGTGCTGTGGTGATGTCTACTTGTGTAATTTTACATGAGTAGATATGTGTAACTCAGATTAAAACAAAGATTTGTACAGATTTAATTATTCCTTATCAAATATGTTTCCTAGGAGTGTAACTATGTAGAGATGTTCAAAAAGGAGAGCTACACCAAAACTGATAGAACATCACAAGTTAATTATCGTTAAAATGTTAAAAACTGATATTTTACAGAATAGACAAGTTGTTTTGCACTTGTAAAAATAGTTTAAATATATTTTAAAATGTAAACTTTTTCACTGATGCCTTAAAATTATCTCTTTGGAACTTGAGAGTTCCTTGAAATCTACTTTGAATGCAACTGATCTAGTCCAAACAGTATTTTATATGTCGTGAACATAACTTAAGTCCAAAGAAGTGAAGTGCATTGCTCAGAGGCATTTAGGTAACTGTGAGTGATAGTTCTAGATAAAATTCAGGTATCAGGCCATTGTATTATGTCAATATAGTGTTCCTTTTGTAGTTAAAGATTGGAAGGTTGGAAAATGAATATGTGTAACCCCTGACTTTCCATGATTTGACTTAGGATTTTTCCACTTTACAGTGGTGTGAAAGTGATACACATTCAGTAGAAACTGTACTGCAAAGTTTGAATTTTGATCTTTTCTCCATGCTAGTGATAAGTAGTACGATATTCTCTGGTGATCCTGGGCTGGGAGCCACAGTTCCCAGTGACACATAGGGTCACAAGGGTGTAAACAACTGACACACTTGTTTTATATTTTCAGTACAGTAATTAATAAATTACATAAGATATTCAATATTTTGTTATGAAATAGGCTTTGCATTAGATGATTTTGGCCATCTGTAAGCTAATGTATATGTTCTGAGCACATTTAAGGTAGTTTAGACTAAACTGTGATGTCCAATAGGTAGGTATATTAAATGTATTTTTGACATAAGAGATTTTTAATTTATGATTTATTGGGATGTTGAGGAAGAACTATAGTCGTATTTTGCTATGATATAAATGAGTGATAAAATCCTTTCTAAGAGTTGTTTTATTGAAGGTACTTGTGTATATATAATGTGGTTCATTTAAAATATATAACTATATATACTTCCAAAAAGAATTTGTAATAGCTGGCATATTGATTTTAAAAATAACTGTTACTTATTCAGCAATGTAAATTAAGTCCTCAAGATAGAATTTTTTATCTTATTTTTTAGGTCTCTTGATGTTTTAAGTGATGGTGTTTTGAAGGATCTTTCTGTGTTTTATAGAAAAATGGTAAAGTTTATTATTTTTTTTCCAATAATATAATAAAACCAAAGTAGTACTATATTACATTAGGTCACACTTCTCAATAGAATAATTTCCTAATGAATTCTAATATACTAGGATCTTTTAAAAATGAGGACATAATTTTTTTATAGATCCCACAGATTAGTGTGATAATCAAAAATTGAAAGTATTCAATGATAAAATTATTATCTATTTTAATTCCTTCCTTTTTTTTTTATTTTATTTATTTATTCATGAGAGACAGAGAGGCAGAGACACAGGCAGAGGGAGAAGCAGGCTTCATGCAAGGAGCCCAATGTGGTACTTGATCCTGGGACTCCAGGATCACAACCTGGGCTGAAGGCAGGCACTCAACTGCTGAGCCACCCAGGCATCCCTATTTTAATTCCTTTCTAAATGAAAGTTATTGAAAGCTTTTTGAGTCTTTCATTATTTGTTACTATACCAAGGTTTAGGATAGTACAAAAATAAGGATTCACATGATCCCTAAGAAATGAATTAATTTGTATTTGATAATAAGATGGAGCTTTTTTTTTTTTTTGGACAGTTTTTTGGGATAAATGAATAAATCTAACCAATTTCTTTCCATTGTTGTAAACCTTGGACTTTGGAAGTCATTAGGCATTGTAGACTTCTCCTTGTTAATGTAACCACATATCAATATAAACAAGTGGGATTTACCTATTATTTTAAAAGTCTTTACAAATCTTGTATTTAAAAAGGAACACCTTTTTCTTTTTCTTTTTCTTTTTTTTTTTTTTTTAATATAAATAGATTCCAGCAATGGATAGAAGAGTCATTACACCATACCAAGATGGACCAGATATTAGCTATTTGGAAGTAGAAGATGGAGATGTCTTTTTGAAAGAAGAAATAAATATGGAACAAAATTATTCGTAAGCTCTGTTTCTCTTCTTCCCTCCTCTCCTTCTGCTCCCCCTCCTCAATCTTTGACACTCTTAACAGTTTTATACTGAAAAATTGGAGAATCCTGACATAAGTATATATTTATATTCTTAGCCTTATTATAAGAAAGTAAGTGTATAACTGTTTACAGATGTAACAAAATTAAGTATAAATATTGAAGGAATACAGCTTTAAAATTAAAATGTCAAATTGAATAAGTGCATTTATCTTAGCTACCTTCCCAAACCCTGCTAAAATTATGATAAAGAAATAAGAAAGGCATATTGCACTAGAGCAGGGAGAACAGGAAAGGAGAAAACAGCAGTTAGGCGACGTACAGTTTTGGAAGTTGGAAAGTGGTTGCTGAGAGTGTAATGACTTAGAACAAAAAGAAAACTAAAGCAAAATTCCAGAAAGGCTTAAGAATTAGAGGTACCAGGTTTATGACAACCAGGTTAAGTGATTAGATTTGTGAAAAAGCATTTTTTTGAGATTCTTTCTTTTCTTTTTTTAAAGATTTTATTTATTTATTCATGAGAGAGACAGAGAGAGAGGCAGAGACACAGGCAGAGGGAGAAGCAGGCTCCATATGCAGGAAGCCTGATGTGGGACTTGATCCCGGGACTCCAGAACCATGCCCTGAGCCAAAGGCAGACTCACAGCCGCTGAGCCACCCAGGCATCCCTTGAGATTCTTTCAAAGAGCATGATCTCTTTCTGAACCCCATTCAACCAAGTGATTGCCCCTCCTGTGCCCCTTTCTTGGCAGAAATATTTGCCCTCTGGAGAGTTTGAACCTAAGAGGAGTGCATTAGCTACTATAAATTTTTCTCTATAGAGAACCTTACTGATTCAAGATAGGACCTACAGTGACTGACATTTGGAAATCCTCCAACAAAATATCCCAGATTCTACGTTATCTCCCTATAGTGTAGCCAACCATTTGACAAGCCGAATTTAGAATTTCCAATCTGGGTGTTAGGCTCCTTTATCAACTGGTTACAGAATTACTTTCCTCTACTTGATAAATGACTTGTTAAAATCTTTGGGCATTCAAGTCACTTACTATCTATACTGTATGGTTCACTGAGAAACTGCTCTTGGGTTCCAGAGGTCTTTTTTAACCCTTTTTCTAGAGTTTGTTAGCATTTGGATTGCTTAAAGTTTCTGATACCTGATTTTACTTTTCAAATTATTTTCCTATATACGATCTTATTTTACAGAAATAGTAGAGTTAGAACAAGTTAAGAGTATCACACTGAGGTTCATTGAAACAGAGTAATTTGCTCTGGGCCACATAGATAAATGCAAATAGAGCATGCATATTTTTGTGTTCTCTGTTTGACTAAAATGCTATATATACTCAGAATTTGTAGTTCTGTTGTTAACCTGTAACTTATTTCTAAAAAATGCATTTTATATATTTGCTTTTTTTTTTTTTTATATTTCCTTTTTTTCATAGGGAAAGTATGTTCAAGAAGGCAAAAACAAAAGCAAAAAAGAAGCCGCGTAAGCGTTCAGATAGTTCTGGAGGTTATAACCTTTCAGATGTTATTCAGAGTCCACCATCTACAGGTTAGTGAAAGTGTCTTAGGATTTATTTCCTGATCTAATCTTTCAAGTCTGTTACCTAATTCATTTAACACATATTAAATACTATTGCATGTCATTTGCCAGGCCTACTGCAATAGAAAATAGTCTTTGTCTTAGGGAGGCTACAGAAAATGATAGTATATTTTATTTTATTTTTTTGATAGTATATTTTAATAATCTGATTGAAGTTTGCTTTGGAAACACAAAAGAAGAGCCCATGTTAGTCTAAGAAGATCAGGGAAGACTTCTTAGAGGAAAATGATATGTGAGTTGGATCTTGAAGAATGAGGAGTTGGCCAAGAAAAGGAGGCAGGCTAATAGACATACTAAGCAAAAGGGGCAATATGCTCCCAAGACTAGAGGCCCTAGAAAGAACTGCAGATTTCTTATGCCTATGGTTTAGCATGACTCAGCCATATGGAGTATGTGCATATAGGTGGTAGTCAAAAACTGGTCAGATGTTGGAGGTATTTTATGCTAAACTAAGGAATTTGAAATTTATTCTGAAGGCTATGGGTAGTTGATGGGCTTTTTTTTTTTTTTTTTTTTTTTGGGGGAGAGGGAGTGATGGGGGGGGCGGGGAGCAACAGGAGAGGGAGAGAGAATCCTAAGCTGACTCTACACCCAGCACAGAGCCCAGTGTGGGGCTTGATTTCACAACCCTAAGATCACAACCTGAGCTGAAATGAAGAGCTGGACACTTGACCAAGTGAGCCATTCAGGCGCCCCTAGTTGATGGATTTTTAAGGCATATGATGTGAGTGATTAAAATTTTTTAGAAAAACTACCCTGTCTAATGGCATAGAGAGTTAGAGATAGGCAAAGCTTGACAGAGGTACTCTTATCATATAGGTCCATTTCATTTATATATCAGTGCTCCAAGCAAGATGCCCTTCATTTGCATTAGGTTATAATCCAGTGATATAACACATTTCATATCTGTGCATTATGTGAGCTTTTTGAAAGTAAAGGTTATGTAGTTTTTCTAAATTTCTTTTCCCAGTTTATTTTGAAAAAATTTGTATATATAACTTTCATTCAGATTGTTAGGCTCTTACCACATGTTTTCTAACAGACTTTCTGTTGCATGCCCTCTTCCCTCATCCTCCAGGCATTCTGTACATTTTTTTTAAAAGATTTTATTTACTTTTTCATGAGAGACAGAGAGGCAGAGACATGGGCAGAGAGAACCAGATTCCATGCAGGGAGCCGATGTGGGACATGATCCCGGGAATCCAGGATCATGCCCTGGGCTGAAGGCAGGCACTCAACCACTGAGCCACCCAGGCATCCCTCTATACACTTTTTTATAGATCCACTTGGAAGTTGTAGGCATGACAGTTTGATATGAATTAATACTAATATGAACCTCCTAAGAATAAGGATATTCTACATAACCACAATATTGTTTTCACATCTATAATATCATTATCACATCTAAGACAATTAACATTAATTCACTAATATTACCTAGAATTATAGTTTCTATCCAGATATCCCTAATTGTTTAAGAATATTTTTATAGCCTTTTGTGTTTTATCCTTAAAAATGACCTGGTATCTTATGAAGATAGACATTGCCTTTGCTTATTAATGTCTCTTTAGTCTCTTTTAATTATTGCAGCACCTCTCATACCTTTCTGTTTTCAAAAGTTCAGACCAGTGGTATAGACTATTATTCCACATTATAGATTCATCTGATTAGATCCAGATTAAACTATCTACATGTTAATAGTTTCTTTAGATGAAAATATGGAAGTGTGACCATAAAATAATGAGACTACAGTATGGCTTTAAAGAATGGTATGTATGTCTATGGCAATAAGACATAAATAGGTATAATTTCTATCAGCAGTATTTTCATAGCCTGATAAGGTACTTCAAAAAATATAAGTGCATACATCTGTTTGTGTCCCTGTGGGGGGGAAAAAAGTTTCATTCAGGGCAGAGAAAGAGTATCTTTTGTCTACAAGTGAGGTACTTGATGTGTTTGGTAATGTTCAAAGGATAAATAATGTCAAGAATAATTGTTTCAGGTAACAAAAAGAAGATATAAAAAAAGATACTATACCTAAATTGATTGATTTGAAGCACTGACGATAGATCTTTTGCAGTCACTACATCTCATTCCTGTTTTAGGACCTTTCATAATGTAAAATTCTGTGATTTTGTGTTCTCTGTATTACATGAGTTAACCTCTAGTCCTTAGAAGGACACATGGGTAGATAGATGTAAAGATGAATAAATGGATAGACAGATAGTCATGAGACTAGTGATTTTCCAGTTACCTAAAAGACTTAGGACAAAAGCAGGTATTTGGATTTGTTTGTTTGATTGAGAGGCCATGAGGGATGAGGGAACAAAAGAAGAGGGAAAAGGACAGACTCTATACTCCATACAGAGCCTGATGTGGGGCCAGATCCCAGGACCCTGAGATCATGACCTGAGCTGAGACCAAGACTCTTCCAGCTTAGCTGACTGAGCCACCCAGGTGCCCCTAGTTGATTTGCTTTAAATAGTGGTATTATTAGTACGTATGCTAGAACGTTTCATAGCTGGGAGAGACATTAATAGTGAAAACTAATATATGTCCCTTCCTTTAAACCTGAGGAAGTAAGTTCAGAAAACTTCAGTGATTTGAAGTACAGACAGAAAGAAATAGAATTTATTTTTTCAATTCTAGTTCTGTATTCTTTATGCTGTACCACTCTGCCTGTGGCCAAAGTAGATAATGACTGAAAGGTCAAATTTAGTTGGGGGCCACAAAAGTCCTGTTTTGGAAGTAAATTTATTTGTGTTGATCTCTTAACGTTAGACAAAAGACATTCTGTGAAAATGTTTTATATTAAAAATAATTGTTGTCTATTTTAAAATATCCCCTTTATTCATTAGATTTATTTCTAATTGACTTTTGGGAGCATTCTGGCATTAAATATGCTCTTTTAGATAAAAAAATTGCTACTGGGGCCCCTAGGTGGCTAGCACTTGACTCTTTGTTTCAGCTCAGGTCATGATCTCAGGGTTCTGAGATCTCTCAGGCTCCATGCTCAGTGTGGAATCAGCCTGGGATTCTCTATCCCTTTCCCTCTGCCCCTCCTGGTTATGTTCTCTCTCTAAAATGAATAAATGAATAAGTAAATCTTTAAAAAAAATTTTGCTGCTCTTAAAAACATTGAAAAGATTGGGGGGGGCATTGCTGAATGTTGCTTTCAGACTATTTTAGCAGTAAAAAAAGAGGCATATATCTTGTCAAAGTGATTTACTTTAAAGAAAACACTTATTTGAATGTATAAAAGATGGTATATTTTACTTAAGTCATTTGTAAAACTTTTAGTTACTTTTAGTTATAGCTCATATATGAGTTCTTTTGCTATAGCATTTAGATTCTATGAAATTTGATGAAAATAAACACCATGAACTTAGGCAAAAGTTTACTGGTTTTTCTTTTGATACAAGTATGGCAGGGAGATAGGTATTTAGGTTGCCTAGGAAAGAAAATGGCATGTACATTTCATAACCTTTTGCTTTAGGTGATAAGCTAATTAAAAATTAAATTAGCTCTCAAGCTACAGATTTTTTTTTTCTTTTTTTTGCAGAAGTAAAAACCCTCAAACAGGCTACAGTTGGCATCAGCATAGCCTCTGCTACTGGGCCAGTCTGTTGACTAGATGAGAGGTAGAAAAGTTATAGTGTTCCTCCCACACAGAATGGGGCCAGTCCCCTTCTGCATGGGTGCAGAGAACTTGGTAAAGAGAGATGGGGGGGGGGGGTGTCTGAAGTTTATTTTTTCCTTTTTTATGGAGAAAAAGAAGTTCTGAAACACTTTAAAAATTTTTTTTTAATTTAAATTCAATTTGCCAACATATAGTATAATATCCAGTGCTGAATCACTTCTTAAAGCAGATCCCAAAGAAGTATCTTCCTTAGGTTTGTGGCATAATTGTTGTGTAATTGAAATGGATAAAACTGTTGTGTTAAAGAATCCTTCATTTTAGTTTTTTAATTTTTTCATCAGTTAGCTTGAATTGCCAAGATTTGATACAGTGAATATAATATAAATGTTATTAAATTTCTAGATAAATGGAAGTTTTTAGCTCTGTTTAGTGCATCGAATGTATATGTGTTTAAATATTTTTTAAAATTTTACCTTTCAGGATTATTAAAGTCTGGTAAGAACAATTCTGTGGAATCTCTTCCGGAACTGTTGACATCAGACTCTGAAGGAAGCTATGCAGGAGTGGGTAGTCCTAGAGATTTACAGTCCCCTGATTTCACAGCAGGATTTCAGTCAGATAAAATTGAGGTTTGTTTTAATTAATGCACTGTTTTCTTCAAATTTTAGATCTATAGACAATCTATACTTTTTTATTATTATTATTTTTTTGTCTAACTTTAAAATATTCTCCTGGCTGGTTTACAAAAAAATAGAACATATGTAGTATTAGTTTTCTCAAATTTGCATTTTATTTCTAGTTTTAAATATTTTAATGGCAGTTTGAACCTTTTATGACATTATATTTCTAATACTCTTTCTGCAGTTAAAATTAAAACATTGATGTAAAATATAGCAGCACTGTATAGACATCTGGAAAAATAAATTTATAGCTAAATTACTTGAAATTTATATTGTGAAATGTCAGTTACCACCAGCTGAAAACTGTCAAAACAAAATTATTTTGAAAGTAAGCCTAACTTCAAATTCTGCATAGTCTCTTTCCTCTATCATGTTATTAGGAGCAATACAATCTGGAATGGAGTTCTCCTACTGTGGTACAATTGACATTAAGCTGCAGAATTTCTACTTTGGTTAAACTCTGGGGAGGCCATTTTTAGACATATCTTAACATTTTATTCCATAGTTGTTAATCTATAGGAAAAGATAGTGTCTAACTTATTAGATATCGAGTCATTTTTCTCTAACCCCTAGTCTTCACAGAACTATTAAAACTTTGAGAAGTTCATGAAACAATGGAAAATTTACCCATTCTTAGTGTTCTAAGCCTCAGGATTGCTTTTTTTTTAAATGTGGTTTTTAAATTATTTTTTTTAGAGATCTTCTTTATTTATTCGAGAGGGAGAGATAGCAAGAGAGAGCTTGAGTGGAGGGCAGGAAGAGGGAGAAGCAAACTCCCTGCTGAGCAGGGAGCCCGACTCAAGGCTCAGTCCCAGAACCCTGGGATCATGATCTGAGCTGAACATAGACAGTGACTGAGCACCCACATGCCCCTTAATGTGGATTTTAAATTTTATTTTTATTTTTCTTTATGTAGGATAGAAGTTTGGGGACAATTCTTATTAACGTCAAAGTGGCTGTAGAAGACAAGGCTTAAAAGGAAGATTAAAGGCATGCTGTGAATGTCTGGCAATAAGCATCTATCTTGGCAATGGAAATAGCTATTTTAATAACTTTTCTGACATACTGTAATGGCAGTCCTTTTAGGGTTCCTTTTGAGCTATCAGTATTATTTAACTTTAATTTTATTCAGAGTGAATTATATGATGTTAATACGAAAGAAAATGAAAGCTTGATATGAAAGTCACAGATATTAATTTTAAAGTTGCTGCTTCATACCTTATTTGAAGAATTTTTATTAACATTTTTGTTTTATACTCAATTTAATATTTTAAAATATTTAATAGGGATTTAATGTGTAAACTGATTCTCCTAAAAATTATTCTCAAAGTTCACGATAATTGGGTTATAGTCACTGATAAGGTTTGAGAATTGGTTAAGGCACTAAACTAGAGGAATGCTAGATGATTATTGTTACAAGATGTTATACTTTAACCAATATTAAGTACCAACTAACTATTAGTACCAGCTATTATGCCAGGTGCCTGCTATTGTACTTTTTTTTTTTTTAACCTCCAGGGGAAAATTAAACCATATGTTAATGGTACACCTCCTGCATATTCTAGGGAAGATTTAAAACCATGGGAAAAATCACCAATACTTAACATATCTGCTCCACAGACCATTCCTAGTAACAGAATTGATACTGCAAACTCTTCTAGTTGGGTTGCTGGATCTTTCAGGTAGGATTTTCATTTTGTTCTATATTCTGTTAGAAAAATATTACTCATTTTTTAGTACAAGGGAAATTTTTAATGAAGCACATTTAAAAAGTATTAATGTAAGTCTCTAATACACAGAAAATTACCTGAATGCATACGAACTAGTAGCCAGCTAAAATAGGCACTTTTCCCCCTAGACAGGATTTAGTTCCTTTAGTTCCCTTTGTAGTGTCATTTGTGAATACTAGTAAATACTATATAACACACAGATATCTGTATCTAGATATATAGTGACTTAATATATGGATTTTTTTGATTGTATATATTACTTAAAACTCCCTTTCAGGAAGACCATTTGTCATTTTTGGGTTTTTTTTTTTTTTTTTTTAGCACATTAAAGGGTATTTAAGATCTCACAAAATGTATTGTTATTCAGTTATTTGTCAGAGGACATTTCATTTATGTTACACTATGCTTTAACTTACATGTACTATATCCATATTTTTCTTTTGTTTAAAAAAGTCAAGTTTTTAGGTTGAAGTAGATATAGTACAGTATTCTTTCAAAGTGCTAATTGAGCTTGTGCTTCATCTTTATATATCTACTGTGGTTTATAATAAACTAAACCTGATAATTGACTTATTATATTAATGTATTTTGAAATGTGCTGTATTTTACAAAGTTGGAAGACCAGATTATGATGTACTAGTTTATGTTGCTTCATATTCTAAAAGTAGTTTAGAAATCAGTCTCAAATTTGTTGTCTTTTTAAGTAAACATGTTTGTGGGAACACTGAGAAGCATCTTCTAAACACTAGACTATTTTATTAAATGTGTTTTAAGAATAATTCACTTGGTATAAAGTCACAAAATAGATTGGCTATTTTTAAAGATTGTAAATTTTTTTTTCTCATAATTTAACTCCATCAGGTGGTTTCTAATATAGAGCACCCTCAAACTTCACTGTTAAATTTTTGTTGTTAACATTTAGTAGTAAGAATTTTGTTAAAAATAGAATATAATTTGCATGTTCTATTCGTCTTAAAGAATAAGAATTTAAACAGAACTTTGATTACTTCTGTCTGAGTTAAATAAGAATCATTCTATTGCTTGTTTTTTTTTAATGTTTCAGCTATATATTATGACTTTGGATGCATTTTAGTTATGTATATATAAAAATAGCCTTCATTCAAAGTATCCTTTTTTAATTTGGCCGTAGATGACAGACCTAAAGTATCCTCTCATTATCAATCTTACATATAATTTACAATTTCAGTGACGTTTGGAGGTTTGTACTTTATGGATCAATAACTGTTTTCTTTTTTCCTTTTTCTTTTTTTTTTTTTCCAATAACTGTTGTAAAATAACCTTTATATGTGTTTTAGTCCTGTCAGCCCTCCTGTTATGGATCTCAGAACCATCATGCAAATTGAAGAAAGTAGACAAAAATGTGGAGCTACACCAAAGACAAATTTGGGGTTCGTTAAAAAATCATAAGAAAGCAAAGACTGTGTTGTTTTATAGTTCTGCCCTAAAGAATTGGAAAGACCTACTGGACTTTTTTTGTTTTTCTATATTTGATGTTAAATTTTAAGCTCTTTCCTAGATACTCTAGCCTTCCTGACATTTCTCAAATATATGCTAAAGACTGAGTTGGGTTGGTAGTCCAGCTCTGATGGTCAGAAATTGACCCCTAAAATGATCATTGTGGACTATATTTGATGCAACTGTGATGTAATATTAGTATGAAGGCTCATTTGTATCTATTATTTGATCATTGATAGTGTAAATGGATACTGTCACTGTTGAATCATGTTGCCATTTTGATCCAGTAATAGTAAAATCACATCAAATAAAAAGCAATATAATTACCTGTAGTCTTCATTAAGTAGAAATTAATGCCAATTCATTTAATTCCTAGCAAGATGATTTCTCATGGAGTTAAACTTTCTCAGAAGCAACGGAAAATGATTGCAATGACTACCAAAGAAAACAATTCAGGAACGAATAGCATGGAAACAGCTTTAACTGCTCCTTCAAAAACTCCAAAGCCAGCAAACGCATGGTATGCTTTAATTTTTATTAAAATAAGCAGAGATCTGTGCATTAGAGTTTAAGGTTGCTCTTGGCTTCTGGGTCCCCTTCCCATCTTTTCAAATATTTCATTCCTCTCTTTAAAAAGTTAAAAATTAGACCTTGTGAAGTAATTTTTTTTTTGTTTTGACATTTACATCATGGTTTTCATTTACATCATGGTTTCCAAAATTTTTTTGTACATAGATATAATTTCTTCTTGGTATTCTAATTAGTGTGTATTGCTAAAGTAATTTAAGAAAGTAGTCTATTTTTTTCATTTGTTATAAGAAACAATATATATCATAGAAAAATTGGATAAACACATTTTTTTTTAACCACCTTAATTTCTTTGTCCTTCTGGATACATTGGGAATCTCTTTACATTGTTATAATCATGGGTTTCATTGTCACTCTTAAGAAGGGGTATCTAATTGCTGCAAGTTTTCTCCATTAGAATTCCCCTATAATAGCAACATTAATAGAAAAAATCTCCAAAGAGGTCAACCAGCAATCTTGAGGTGTATAAAATAGGTTGTACTTCCTTTTTCCCTTTAATTAAAAAGCAATTTCAGAGGAAAAGCATATGGATAGAGTGAAGGGCAAGGAAGAGATTCACTGAACTCCCGTTTTTCTCATAAGGACTGAAGAGGGTCTTGAAGCTACCCTTTTTGGAGGGAATCTTTTCATTGCTTCTTTTTATTTATTTAGTTTAGAGAGAAAGAGTGGGGGGTGGGGGCACAGGGAGAGGCAGGGAGAGAAGGAGAAAGAGAATCTTAAGCTTCAGGCCCAAAGCAGAACCAGTCACGGGGCTTAGTCTCACAACTCTGAGAGATCATTACCTGAGCTGAAATCAAGATTTGGACGCTTAACCGACTGAACCACTCAGGTGCCCCCCTTTCATTATTTCTAATGCCGCATTTTCCTACTTGTAAGAGAATAGTTTTCCCAATTAAAAAAGTAAATTATTTTGAAAAGAGTGGCAACTCATTTTAGGTGCTACCAAGGGGACTAAATCAATGTTAGGACTACTTGTAGATCTAAAGCATGATCACAGGAAAGAAAGTAAAGAAAGAGGTGGGAAAACTCAAAAAAGAAAAGAGTAAAATTTGAGAAAATGAGTTTAGTAGAATGTTTTAATTCATTAGTATTTGTTGCATACCTTCTATATGTGGTAGACTGATTTGTTCACTGCCTTTGTAGGGTTTGTAAGATAGCTGTTACAACATTGAGTTGTGTTTTCCCTAAGAAAAGTATGGAAGAGACACAAAAGTTCTTGGATCAACTCTCAAGATACTAAATAATACTGCAATTTGAGAGAATTAACTAGCATATGAAGAAGCTTTGGGCTTAGTAATACATTAATCAGTTTCATTATTTAAAAACAAAAAGTAGAGGAGGCTTCCTGGAAAGATGGTAGATTAGGGGGACCTTAAGCTCACTTTATCCCATGATGCAATCGATACACAAACCTAATTGTAAATAACCCAGAAAATGATTCAAAGACTGGCAGAACAAACTCTACAACTAAATTTAGAGAAGAGGCCACATCAAAGAGTGTAAGAAGGGCAGAGATAGTGGGGAGCTAAAGGGATTTCTCTTGAGAGAGGGACTTGAGGGTGGAGAGAGGGGAGACAAACAGACTGTCATACCAGGGAACCTGAATGGGGAAAACAAATCCCCATAACATTTGGCTTTGATAACATTTGGCTTTGAAAATCAGAGGCATAGAATTTTGTGAGTTCTTAAAAACAGCAGGACCAGCATGAAATTTTTTTTTTTTAAGACTTTTTATTTGTTCATGAGAGACACACAGAGAGAGGCAGAGACATAGGCAGAGGGAGAGGCAGTCTCCCTTTGGGGAGCCTGAGGTGGGACTCAATCCCAGGACTCTGGGATTGTGACCTGAACCAAAGGCAGATGCTCAACCACTGAGCCACCCACGTGCCCCAAAGCATGGGATTAAAACAATCAGCAGGCTTAGTTCTAGGAGAGCCTGGAGGACTATAGGAAAATGAGTCCCTGAAATTAAAGAGACAGCCTACTGACCTACAGCATAGAAGCAGCAGTTTCAAAACCCTTGGAGCATATGGGAGGGAGAATTATTTACTAATCTCAGAGCATATTCCAGAGAGACAGACATCACTGCGAAACTCCTCCAGAAACAGAGGAGCTGGCAGGTGCCATTTCCCCAGCCCCTTTCCCTGCTTCAGGGATCTGCCCCCTCTAGCCAGGCCTGCCTTAGTCCCAGCACTACAGGTCTCCTCCCCCAGAAGACCAATGCAAGCCTTGCCAATACCACATCTCCTGACAGCGTGCTTTACAGGTCTTTGGTCCCTGTGGTATCAGAAGACCAGCAAGAACCTTGTTAAAACTGTGCATGCCACCCCTACCTTCTTTGCCCAGCTGACCTCCCTTGTGTTGGAGGCACATCCCCCCCAGCAGAGAAGTGGCATGCAAAACTTGGAGGCACTGTGTACCCTGTATACTCACACTTTGGAGTTGGCCAGGGCTAATTTGCAATCAGCCGCAGCCCTTTCCCACTGGCAGAGGACTGGTATGCATTTGTTAAATGCACCCAGCCCACATGCTTTCCTGATAAGCCCAGATGGCCGTGATCCTCATCCTTTCTCTCAACCTACTGCATGCTCTGCCCCTGAGCATATTGTAGATCCATCCCCACCAATACATTCTTGGCTAGAGCCCATTTAGACCAGGGCCATAAGTGTGGCAGTGTTGAGGCAGCCCTGACAGAGGCTAGCACCACTCCAAAGTGACTCGTAATCTGGGGAGAGGAAAACATAACCACACAAACTAATTAGATTACAGCCCCAGGAGTGGGCTATGGGCAGACAGCTGGTTTGATAGCAGGCCCTGCCCACTACCACCAAAAGCTTTTCAGGGGACAACGCAGGGAAAGTGCCCTGCAATTAGCTGCTATTGCATCTCTGGTGAAAGCCTGGTCTGCCTCAACTCAAGCCCAAGGTGGCCCAGACTGGTCCACAGGAATCAAAAACTGCCCACAATAGGCTAGGAGAGCCACTGCAGACAACTGGACCAAAGGAAAACGTGGCTTGGCCACAGTAGCAGGGTACATGCAACACACATAGGAGACACCCCTGGTGCCACATTCTGGTAAACAGGTGATACTGCACTGTGGGGCACTACGGGACATCAAAAGGCCACTACTTTCAAGAATAGGCAATGTAGCTGACTTTCTTAAGGCATAGAAACATACACAGAAAGTTAGATAAAATGAAGAGAAAGAGGAGTATGTTCCTAATGAAAGAACAAGACAAAATCATAGCAAGAAACCTAAGCAAAATGGAGATAGATAAGTAATATTATGCCTGATAGAGAATCTAAAGTAATGGTCATAAAGATAATCAGTGTATTTGAAAGAGTAGAGGACGTCACTGAAACCCTTAACAAAAAGATTAAAGAAAGAAACAGAGATGAAGAACACAATAAATGAAATTAAAAATACACAAGATGCAATAAAAGACTAAAGGGAACAACAGATCAGTGACCTGGAGGACAAAGTTATGGAAAGAATCAAGCTGAGCAGGTGAGAGAAAAAAAAAATATGCAAAATGAGAACAAACTCAGGGAACTCAATGACTCTATCAAGAGTAGTAACATTCACATTATAGGGATCCCAGAAGAAAATAGAAAACAGGGCAGATCATTTATTTGAAGAAATAACAGCTGAAAATTTCCTAAATCTGGGAAAGGTAACAAATTCAGATCCAGGAGGTACGGAGAACCCCCCAACAAAATCAACCCGGGGAGGTCCATACCAAGACACATAGTAATTAAAATGGCAAAAAGTAGTGATAACTTTAAAAGCAGCAAGAAAAAAAGAAGACAGTTACATACAAGGGAAACCCCATAAAGCTATCAGTGGATTTTTCAGCAGAAACTTTGCAGGCCAGAAGGGATTGGCATGATACATTCAAAGTCAGGAAAATATCTGCAGCTAGGAATACTGTATCCAGTAGGGCTATCATTCAGATTAGGAGAGAGTTTCCCAAACAAAAGTTAGAAGAGTTCATGACCACTAAAATGACCATGACCACAGGAAAAATATCTGCAGCTAGGAATACTGTATCCAGTAGGGCTATCATTCAGATTAGGAGAGAGTTTCCCAAACAAAAGTTAGAAGAGTTCATGACCACTAAACCAGCCCTATAAGAAATGTTAAAGGGGACTCTGAATAGAAAGACCATAAGCAAGAAAAGCAGGAAGCACAAAAGTATTAAAAAAAAAAAAAGGTATCTGTAGAAACCAGTAAAGGGACTCACAAACGAAAAGTATATAAAGTATGACACCTTATACCTAAATTGTGGTGGGGAGAGAAGTAAATGGGTTCAACCTAAGTGACCATCAAGTTTACATAGACTGATATATGCAGAAGATGTTGTATGCAAACCTAATGGTAACACAAGTTAAAAACCAGTAATATATATGCAAAAAATAAAGAATCCAAGTATATCACTAAAGAAAGCCAACTTATGGTGAGGGAAGAGAGCAATAGAAGAAAGAAACAAAAAACCACAAAACAACCACAAGACAAGCAACAGAATGGCAATAAACACATACCTATCAAATACCACTTTGAATGTAAATGTACTAAATGCTCCAATCAAAAGACACAGTGAGAGAATGGGTTAAAAAAAACAAAACAAAACAAGACCTATCTATATGCTGGCTATAAGAGACTCATTTCAGACCTAAAGACACCCACAGGCTGAAAGTGAGGGGATGGAGAAAAATCATACAACTAGTGGGGAAATGAAAGCCAGGATAGTAATATGTATATTGGACAAAGTAGACTTTTAAACAAAGGCTGTAGCAACAAAGAAGGATGCTCTATAATCCTATAGGGGATGATCCAACAAGAAGATAGAACAATTGTAAATATCTATGCACCCAGCATGCGGACACTGAAATACATTAAGCAGTTAATAACAACCATAAAGGAACTAAAAT